GTTTTAATTACTGCTGTGAAAAACTTTTTCAACATTTGATAGCTACTACGGAACAATTTCTTTCTGTTTTATTGCCGCGTCGTCCAAAGTCAAAGCCTACTTGATCTAAATGTGTGTTTTTGAGTCTACATGAAAAAACCTGAAAGCTCTGTATTTCAAAGATGACTAGCGAAACATCAAGTGTGCTACATTTTTGAAAAGGTAATTTTAAGATCCATTGAAATATGCAGGATTATACAGGGTGTATCATCAAAAAATAGTTTTCCATCAATAACTATTGATGTCTCATTTGAAAAATTAAGTTTTTTACACCGTTGAATTCTACTTAAAAAATTGCTTTTGAGATGTTTCGTAGAAACAAGAAATTTTTGACAGGAAAAAAGTTACGGCTCAGACACAGCCATCAGTTCTCATCTATCTAGTTTGAAAACAGAAGTGACCCATTTGGCCCATTCTGTACAAAGTTGGGCCAATCTCATTTATCGTATCGCGAGTTTATGAGGAACCAAAAACAAATCGGTAAGAACACCTGGGTTTCTATGCATCCTCAATTCATAATCAATCGAACAGCACCAAAAGTTTTGAATGTCTTGGACGAAACACCAGACTGGACAAAAAAACACTGTTTTCTGTAGAACTTACCCAGAAGTCGGATATTTAACGTTATAAGCACGGTTATAGATCGAAACTTTTCCAAAATTACAGTTCACATTAAAAAGTTCTAGCAGGCGCGCTGGGCTTCTATTCGTTTGTACTCACGAGTAATTCCTGTTTATATATCGTCTTCGCAATATATTTCTTACGTACCTACACATAATTCAATAAGACAAATCCCTTTCCTAAGGATTCCTTCCTGTTAATAGAATTATTTTTCTTGATAACTTTTTGAAAGTATTGCTCAAGGTTAAGGCGAAGCTAAATTGGATTCCCTTTAGCTATTACAATTACCGAAAGGGGTGTGTGTGTGCACTTTTGAAGTAGAAAAGCAGAAAAATAGCTGGATATGATTTTATGAATCCAATTCTGATTAACTTGAACTGTATATGATCCATACATAGGTATGCAAAAACACGTCAAACTTATTTTTGAGGGGGCTAGTTTTAAATTGAATTACATCAACCCTTTAGCGAGGGTGGACACAACAACCCCTAAAATCTTTCCATTGGTTAATTAGTTATTCGGCTGGATTTTTCTGTTGAGACACCGTATACGAGTGTCTGGAGAACGCTAAGGTTTTTACTAATCCTCTTGACCAAAAATGTTTCTTCCGAAAACTCCTTTGTATACAATGGGAGTATTTCATTTTGTACAAAACTTACTCTCTTTCAAAAATAACCCATCCTACCAAATGTTTGTCGATGAAAAATATAATTACTTCTGAAGAGAATATATTGAAGTGACGCAGCTATTCATTTGCAGAAACAATCAATACATAGCATTTTGGGCGTATGCGGCAATCTTTTGAAATAGTTTGGTTTCCGATTTTGAGAGCTTCGTTTGTTGAAATTTATTCTTAATGTTTCTGTGTTATTGCTTCCAAGGTTGAAGATATACTCAGCCTTGGAACGATAACACAGCATTGTTTGAGACCACATTTGTCCCCTACACCACAGAACTTCTCTCTCACTATGTTTAATCTATTATTTAATCTTTTAATATCATAGGTTTTCAAGTCTCAATCTATTATCATATAAAGTGGCTGGGAGTGCCATCTGTCTTTACGTAAAAAAGATATTCACTTGAATGAGTAGAATTCTGTAAAAATTCTAAAACAAGCCATGGAGAGCGCGACATATAAGTTTTGTAATTCGAAAGTCAAACTCAAGGAAAATATCGATCACGAATAGTTCTAAATTTCAGGGTCAGACCTGTCTGTTTAGGAAAACTAATATTTTGTCAATAAATACAATGAAGAGCTTTTACTATTTCGGAAGCCACCAAAGCACGCGAAGATATGAAATGTCACTTTTCAGTAACTAAAATATTTTCATTGTATTGGTAAAAATAAATAACCTATCTGTTTTCCTTGGGTTTACTGACACTTGTGCCATCTTGCGGAGATCGTTTCCTACTGAAGACACATTCTTCTTCTTCTTCTTATGACTCTGCCTTTTCGGCAATTTGCCAGAGAAGACACCTCTATCAATAGGCCTTTTCTTCATAAGACGAGCGCAAGCGTAGCTGTCATATTGAAATGGTGGTTATTCAAAACATTCCTACTGTTTTAATCGACAATGGCTGGGCAAGAAATATTATCTCTATAAACAAATAAATTATTGGAAAAAACCATTGATGGTGTTTCCCTTGTTTATAATTCAGTCGAGGTTCATAATTGTGAACAATTAAAAAAGTGGTTGAAACGTCATGGGTGTCCGTTTACTATCTAAAAACATATAAAAAAAAACAGTATTTACAGTTTTATTCTTATTGATACTGTCAATTTATTTGGTGTAATTGAAAATATATTTCAGTTGAAAAGAGTATTACTTATGGAACTGATAAATAAATCTGCAGTCAATTCGAGTGAGTGAACAAATCACCCACGCCGAACCGGTTGGCTACTGACCGACTGGTCGGTATTAATATAAATAAAAGCACGTTGTATAGGTAAAGACAATAAGTATATTAAAATGACAGGAACAAATAAGTAAATATCACAGATAAAGATTGATGAGTAGAATGTAATATTAAGTTACTAGGAAGCTTAAATTTGATACAGACTGAAAATGGTTATTTGTCCATGAATTCTTGTGTAATGAATATGGCTTCTCAATGTCACACGACAGATCAAAAACACGTTTTTTAAAAAAAAATTTTGTCCGATCTTCGATTATCAAGGGTAATTGGTTGTAGAATTTAATTGATGCGTAATGCGGCCCCATGCTCTGTGTTTTTCAATCTATGTTTAGGAACAATATAATTGGATTTCTGTCGGGTGGAATACTCATGTAGTAAGTTGAGAAAGTTTATATCTACAAAACTTTAAAAGATGACGATTATTGTAACTTTTTATTGTTCCATCAAAAATTAAATTTGAAATTTTTTTCACCACAGCATATCTATTTCTTGGTAATTCTTGCAAGTTGACCCCCACCGTCAGTGAATGTATGATTAGGCAATGAATAAATAAAGAAAAACAATGATAAAAACTTATTTATTGAGTCTACTTTAAAAAAAATCAGTTTCATTTGAACTTGCTCCTTCCTGTAAAAAAGTACTCAAATAATTGATTCTTGGAATATCATTAAAAATAATTTTCATTATGTCAAAACATATTGATATTGATATGGAAATGAAACTTCATGATGCAAATGTTCTGGATATTTTTCTCTGAATAACAGAACAAGCTCTCAGCCATAAGCAAACATCATATCAGTTTGAATTAGTTGAAGTAATCTTTGTAAACTTGACTTCCCAAGAATCAACTACCGAATTTAACATGTTAGTTATTCTCAAAGAATACGATACCATCATATCCCTCGAAGTCCATTCACAGCTCAACCTAAAAACAAAATTGAATTACCACTTGCATCCACTAACATAAAATCATAATCAAAATGAAGAAAATACTACAGAACAAAGGTTTTTGTGCATTATAAAATCATTATTATCATTTCTATGCACATCTACATTCATTAAAGTATTTACAAATTAGCTTATTAATAGTGTATGCAATTTATCCTTAAGCTGCTTGAAGTCCTTGCAGTTCAAAATAAAAGATTACTCAATACTTTACCTCTGTGAACTTTGTTCTCTAGAATATTGTGGGCTGGTAAGTCTTTGAAAACTATAATTAAATTGTTGCGAGTTCCTTAAATATTATAGAAAATGTTTTCAACTTGAACTCTAGATTCTAAATTTCTTGAATTTGTAATAAACATACTGTCAGCCTAAATTATTCAGCACATTCATTTTGTATGAAATCAATATTTGAAACAACTTAATTGTGCAGTATTTCTAGTCATTATAACCCTAAAATATATTAAAATTCATGAAACAATATGCCAAGACTAAGGTGCCCACATCAACATTTGCTTCTAAGAAACACATACAATTATTTTTGTTCTTCTAGGTATGTCTACTGCATTACATTCAAATGGTCACCCTGCCTAAACACAATTCACGAGAAAAAAAATCAACTTTCAATATGAAAAGAAATAATAGTATTATTTGCCAGGTCATACTTACATTATAGTGTCCTCTATAATAATGAGGAATAGGATTGGTTCAGAAATCCATCCTTATTCAAATTTGAATATTTTTGAGTGAGTCACTTTGAATTTCGTGTTGTTGCTGAATAACAGTTGAACTATTTTAATCTTCATTTCAGTTTTCACAAAAATCCATCATTAAGTGTTTGAAATGTAAGCTGTAGTAGTTTCAAGTCTTGATAACGAAATAGTAATTTTTTTAAGTGAGGCATTGTTTGCACTCCTTACTGCTCTTAGGTAACTTTTTCTGTGATTTGGAGTATTCTGTGATTTGGTATTGATAGAGATTAATAAATTGCTTTAAGTGGCTAGCAGCCATGCCTACATTTGGTTGAAGAAATCCAAAAACTGAATTTTTTATTTAATGCTCCCAGCATTTATATTATCCACAATTTGTTAGTTTTCATCTGCTTCCCGCAGTATTGATCAGATAGTAGATTAGATCTACATAAAAAAACATGTTCCATTACTAAGTATAATTTGTAAGTGGACAATGAAATAATACGATAAAAAAAAGCTTTTTCGTATACTACTTCTCGATCATTCAACAAAAAATGTGAGAAACTTACAATGAGACTTAAAAAAATATATTTCAGTATGAAAATTGAGTACAATCTTCATAGGATCATCATTCATCCCTTTATCAGATGTTCATCCAGCCTGCTTCATTCAAGATTGCAGATTAAACTGCGACCAATGCCTGCATTTACTTAAAAACTACTTTTTGTTATGGCTGCAAAGTGTCAGGTGTTCACAGGTTTATTTTGTCTGTGAATAAAAAAACTTTTCTTTTGAATTCGTTAATTCATTTTTTATTTGTTTAAATGTATCACATCTTGGAGCCACTAAAAGGATACCTACAGCACTTCAAATTGAAACACAAAATTCTTTATATACAAATTATAATAATTTAAGTTACTGCTTCAAGTTATTTCTCAAGTGGTCTCAATTCAAAATAATGTTAATTTCTTGAAATGTGACCCAGTTCGGGAGAGACATCCATTTCAATAGAATAAAACTTAACCTAACTACAAGTATAAAAAAATCATCAACTTCATTTGTTATACGTTAGCCACAATGTTCTGGAAAATGCTTCAAAAGTTGAACTGTCCTCGTTGCCGCATCAAGAGCATGCGCTAAATTATATGATCATGTTCACATCTATTTCAATGTACACTAACTTAACAGATATACAGGCGGATATTCGAAAAATACTACAGAAGAGCTCAAATCAAGACAAAACGTTAAGAGTCAATTTAAATTTTGTACAACTATTGAAATTTAAAGATTTACAGAAAAAAAAGGAATATTTTCCTATGTCCATTTTATATCAGATCTATTACATGTTCATTGTCAACATATGGAAATTCAGTTTCCAATTATTTATTTCGTGCAATTTTCTTTTCATCATTACAATTACAATATTTTTAGGAAGCGTTTCGGGAGATCCGAGGTTGCTTTTATGTGGAAATTCTTGTATTATAAATGGGAGACATGTTCATAAAAAAAGTTCCATATAATACAGAATGAATATCCTACTTGTTTCCATTATAAATCTAAGATCAAACCTGGAAGGTTTTAATTCTTCATTTGTTGAGCCATTTCGAGGGGTGGTAAGTTTGTCACAAAAACAACCCAAAATCCTGATCTACTTTCATTCATATAACGTAATTGTTAGAACCATTCATATTAATACATAAAATTTGTCTTTCAACTTTCCATATTATCATAACTACGGAGTTACAGAAAATGTTGGTAATAGTTTTTTTCAAATCTGATGATCATCTTCGTGGCCTTCGGGAGTCTTTTTACATTATAGGGATCATTATAGGGAGTAGTAACACGAATGACAGCTCAGCTGATTTAAATAAAAGTGTCTGAATTTCCTTTTATAATACACTTAGAATACTGCCAAAATTTGGACACACGCACTGTTGGTTAAGTCTTAACAAGAACGGTATTGTCTCTTGCTCAATATCCTAAAATAAAAACAAAAGGAGGCTAGTAATCATTACCTTATACAGGTATAATCTTCAAGATCCAAGACTTGAAAACTAAAGATTAAATTGAGGTCTCAACCTCTGAATAATTGGAAGTTTAGATGGTTCAGTTTACTTTATAAATATTTCTAGAAGAGTTTTTACTGTTCCAGTTCTTTCATAAATTGCGAAGAAAACACTTACTTAATTACTTAGGAAATAAATTTGAGATTTTCTGAATAGAAATGTTATGCAAAATAGTGGAATGTTCTCAATTTTCAATTAGGACTTGCAGCATTTCAATTTTTTATGTTAGAACCATTTGGTTCAACTATAATAATAATCATTGTAGATGTGCTATAATTATTATTTTTCAATATTATATCTTGTCATCTGAAGCTTTTCATTTTGAAGTTTTGCAATTTTTGCCAAATAATTTTGATTTCAACAATTTAATTTACTAAGCTTCAGGAACTATATCAAAAACACTAGAATTTCCAAGTATTCATGATAAATTGAAAACTATAACAAAAATGTGAAAAATGTGACAATAAAATAGCTTGAGGACATATTAATCTTGGTAATTATTTGAATAATTTATAGGTATATATTGAAGTAATCAGAAACGTTTCAAAAATTACAAAATGGCATCGAAGTAGACCTTCTGATTGAAAACAAATTTCAAGAAACTACAGTCTTTTGGAAATCAATCATTGATATTTTAAGAAAAAATTACATGTGTGGGCGATTATCAAAATTATTGGATATATTCATTAAAATATTGAATTTATTTGGGGAATAACATGTGAAATTTTGTCTTTTTCTTGCTAGTGAAGTCACCATTAAAGTAAACGTTTATAGTATGAGTACTTAGTTTGTATCAGTGATCATCTCTATTAAATATTTAAAGTTTATTTTATAAGTTCTGCTTTTATAGAAATAACTTAATTTCAATAATATCCAAGTGTATAATAAAACCATGAAAAATGTTTCACTTATTATAATTTCAGAAAAAATGAAACCAAAAAATTCAATAGTTTTGATAAACGCCCTAAAAAAATTCCATTTTAGGAAAATACAACTTTTCGATTGTTTCGCCACATTTTTCACAAAAAGAAGGAAGTCGAACTGATAACATGGACCCAAATTCAAATTCACTTACCGCCATATCCACCCGCCGAATATCCTCCACTCCTATCTTCATATCCTCCTGCCTGACTACTGTAACCCTGTTGTCCACTGCTATAACCTCCCTGTGCTCCGTACCCCGAACTCTGCGATGCTCCATATCCTCCAGAGTAATCTTGACCGCCTCCGTACCCACTGGCGCCAGAATTGTATGATGTGGAGTAGCCACCGCTTTCGTAACCACCAGTGGATGCTTCTCCGCCATATTGATTATAGCCTTGGCCACCACTTCCGTATGATTGACCACCGCCATACTGCTGCGTATTGTAGGATTGTCCATATCCACCACCACCACTAAAGTTAAAAATTAAAGCATATCACTCTCAGATACATTTCAATTGATTCATCAACTATTTATTTGTGCATACATTGTTGATGACTATTGGAAAAGTCTTTAGTTTCAATATAATTTTTTTAAAATGTCTTATCAAATATGTGAATTCCTTTAATGCCAATAAATAATGTTTATATAACAATAATTCACTGATTTTTTCTGCTTAGGTTTATTAGCTATGGTCTTCTGCAACTATGGCTAACATTATTGAAGGCTTTACGACAATGTTGAAAGTGATCTAGCTTTCTAGTGATCTAGCAAACAAGTTTTCAGCAGACCAGATCTAATGAACTGAAAAAACACCAAATAATCTGAAACAATTGTTCATCCCGTTTAGTAACGCACTTAGTATTTGGTAAGCACGGGTTGCAAATAAGGGAAAATTTAATCTTGCAACTTTTTTTGTTACATGACAAAATAGATTTTTGTCATGTTGGTTTTAAAATTGCAATTGAAAAAAAATTCGTTTGTTTTGTCTTCAACTCACCCTTGGCCATAACCATTCTGTCCCTGTCCCCCATTGTCAAACCTAGGCCTCTTTGGTCCAGGGCCTCCTGGTCCTCCTTGGTTTGATTCATACTGTCCAGGGCCTCTCTTCTGAGGGCCAAATCCACTCACTGGGCCTCCTGGTCCCCCCCGGCCTCCCCTTGGAGCTCCGTAGGGTCTTCCTCCTCTGGGGGCCCCTCGGCCCGCACCTCTTACACCCATACCACCCATACCTCCCCTGTCAGCACCCCCGGGACCACCCCGACCTCCCCGGAAACCACCACCAGGTCCTCCTCGTCCCATTCCACGTCCGCCACCTCGTGGTAAAGGACCATCACCTCCTGGTCCTCCTGGAGGGCCACCCTGGAAAGAACCTTCTCAAAGGGTTATTCAGTGATCAATTGGGATGAGCTCATAAAACTAAATTTTAATGATCATTACTAGAGGAGGAATTAAAAATTCTCCCATTATAATTCAACAGGTTGCCTTTATTAGAAGTGTGACTTTATTTACACATATATTACTACAGTTTGTATTAACAATAATATTGAATATTTCATATCCTGTCATTTCAAATCTCAATTACATCGGTAGAGCAAAGTGAAGTTTGAATTTCTATTTTGTTTCCCTTCCATTTGTGACACATTCTCTCTGTTGGCCTGAGAGTTGTTTTCATTGAGAACTCACATTCTACCAATTAGGGATTTAATAGTCCAATGTCAAGAATGTTAAAGTGCTGGTTTTAGTTATAATTGTTCAATTCAGCATTTAGTTGAGTTCCAAGACACATTATGAGAACCCATTATGAGAACAGTACGCTTCAGTAAAAAATTTCTGATTCGATGAAGGAGCATTGAACATGTTCAAACTATACAGTGGGGCAAATTGGTTCTAGACTAAAAGAACTATACTAGCCTCACTGGAAAAAAACTAACTTGAACCATGTATGCACAACATACATAGCTTGTAGATATCTATAAAACATCTGGTTATATATATAAAAAAGTGTAATATTCTCTCTCTAAGCGTTTCCTTTTAGTATCATTCGAGATTCCTGCCAAAAACATACTATGTAGTTGTGGGTTATGGAAGATTGATCATGGTTGCAAATTAGTATGTGACCTAATTTTTACAAGTACTCCTAATAAAGAAAATGGTAAATTTTCGTTTTGAGATCGCCCGGCAATTTTGAAATTTTTTTTAATGTACTCAAGTATTTTGATGTTTAGTAAACTACGAATCCAAAAGAAAAAAGCGGCGCTCTCCCTTATTTACAAAGTTACGGCCCTTCAGAAAAGGGCAACTTTTCAGCCTTCTTTTTCACAAAATAAACTATTAATCAACATTTTTCTTATAAAAAACTTAATTTAAAAACGAATGCTTCTCCTGGTGACATCCTTCTATTTCTAGGATAGTTACTAGTGACATTTCAGAAAAAAGCGGTTGGTATTTGCCGCCGCTTACTATTTCAAATTCGTAATACACCACCAAAAACCAATTCAAGATCTGAAGAATGAAGGTAAAAAAACATTTGAATCACTTGAGGAATATGGACTGTATCAGTCGTACCAACCATGCCATTAACCTTAAAAACTTAAAATACAGAGATATGTAACCAAAAAGCAGCTCCGTACATTTTTTAACACTTTTTTTGGAAAAATGTTGATAATTGAAGTGTCAAAGAAGGAGGAATAAGGTGTACAGGTGACCTAGTGAATGAATGCTTGTGATTTTAAATAGTTTATTTTGTGAAAAAGAAGGCTGAAAAGTTGCCCTTTTCTGAACTTTGAAGGGCCGTAACTTTGTAAATAAGGGAGAGCGCCGCTTTTTTCTTTCGGATTCGTAGTCTACGCATCAAAATGCCTAAGTACACTCAAAAATTTTCTCGAAATCGCCGTGTGCCCTCAAAACGAAAATTTACCAAGAAAATTATAGTTTAAACCATCAATATTACCTTTGGAAATATCCCCGGATTTGCCTTCTGACATTTCACAGGATTTACCCTCCATTTTTTCAAGGTATGTTTGATGGCAAACTTGTTGAAGTTCTTTACAGCGAGCACGTAACACTGAGAATTTCTTATAGTCAACATCAGTTTTAGTTGATTTATACCGTTTATGTGCCGCCTTCTTATCAATATTGAGTTGAATTAATTCATCGCTGAACCAAATGGGAAAATTTTTGCGTCTGTTTACTGCAAAAAATTCACAGCACTAGTTGAATGCCCCCATGATATGGACGCATGATCTACTTTTAATATGGTGCACATATTCAAAGTAGACCTTCACCATGTAACACAAAAAAATATCTTAGTTCCTCAATAAATTAAACAATGTCTTCAGTAAGGTCAGCTTTTTCTTGTAATTAATTAAAATTGGTCTTTTAGATCTTATTTTGAACATCAAGACGACTAATATGATATGGATTTTTGATTCACTTATCATAAATGTTTAGTATTTACCACTGTGTACATAAAACAGATCAGAGATGACCAAATCATAGTAAGATGTGATTTGAAAGTTAGGTTAATTAGTCTAAAATTTAAAGCTTGGCACAACTTTTGAGTGGGGACGATAGCTGGTTAACAAAAAATTGCAATTTAACCTAACCCCAAAAATGAGTGTTGTGTATATGTTAAAAAAGCTTTGTTTCATTTCATTTCTAAGAGTAATTCTCAAATGATTAGTTATTCAAAATGTCTTGAAAATATTCACAAAATAAATATTTTTGAAAGTTGATTGGACTGATTAGACATGACTCAAATCACAAACCAACATAAACATAACTTTAATAATGCACACATTTTCAACAATGGTTATCATCTAGTACATCACATCGAGCTTCCATTAGAGGTTTGATATAAGTGAATGAAGTTACAATTATCGAGTAAAGTTGACCAACTTTCTTATGGTAATTGTACCAAATTTACTAGAAAGCATCTAATGTGCAATTGATCGCTGATTGATCAATTTCATAACTTAAACTTTCCAAACATTGCATTTTTAGTTTCATAGTTTCTTAAATAATGTTTGTATAATCGCTGAAATGGAAATTAATGGTGCCACATTAGAAAAACAATGATAGATATACAATAGTGGACATAACAGATTTCTTCTTTCCCAATAGAAGCTCAAGCACTTGTATACTATTCACTTGGGAATGCTGAAATGCCATAGTTTTTCTAAGCTGTTTCTTGCTAATTGAAACTTGTTAATCACTATTTGCTGCAAAATTGTACATACAATTACCTCAAATAAAATTTTTGAAAAACTAGGTATGGAAAAAAACATTACTTTCTTTTCCAGACTCAGAAAAATGAAGCAGGACGCCTCTGACCAATGAGCAAATTTTCAGAAAGTCACTTCCAATGTAGGCATTTCCCAGGTCAATATCAAAAATAAAAAATAATTCCCTAGTACTTTTAACACAATAAACCAATTTTACCTGGTCCACCTGGTGGAAAACGTCCCCTCGGAGCTCCTCTAAGTCCGCCACGCCCTCGCATCATAGGCCCGCCTCTACCTGGAGGTCCTCCAGGGCCACCACTGAAAACAAATTCGGTAAAACAACGCTAATTGACTTGGGATCAATGAATCTTACCGGCCTCTGAAGCCTCCGCGTCCTCGAAGTCCCCCTGGACCTCCCGGGCCACCACGACCCCCGGGACCACCTCGACCTCTGAATCCCCCACCTCTCTGAGGAGGACCTGATGATTGGGGAGCGCTCCCAGCATCAGCGGCAACTGCTTCGGGTGCGTCGGCCATTACTAATCTAAGAAAATTAATCAATTTTAAATGAATTCCTAGGACGAAATAGAATTAAAAGCATTTTCGCCACAATATATAATGCTTTTGAGTTATTGTACCCACTGGTAAGTGGTAAGAAACCGACAAAGCAGTGAAATAGATTACGCGTCGGTGCGTCCATTTCGAATAGATGTATCCAAAGCTCCATGGAGTGTTATTAATAAAATCGAACGTTCAGGCAATATATGCATATATTAAACAAATCATTTTTTTCCAGCACATACCTGAATGAGTTTGGAGAAGATGGAATGAAGACAAGAATACCTCACTACACAAATACACGGACACAACTTGCCGACAACGGATCACAAACCAAAATGGACTACAATGAGCAATGGACGCCGGAAGCGGCAATTTGTAATGCATAGTGCGGTGTTGCCACCACAAAATCGATAATTATGTTCGGCTATTCCCAATTCGAACGTTTTTCTCGAAGACATCGAATGAATCGTTCGAAATCTCTGAATTTGAATAGTTTGGAACTTAATTTTACGAGAATTGCAGTTTCTAGGAATGTTTTTTTAAATTATCAAGTGTCAAAAGTATCCAATATAGTGTATTTGGGAAATAATCCATAATCCAATACAGATTCGGAGATTATCCATGATATGAATGCCACTTATTTCTCCTACATTTTTTTCATAAGAAACTATATAGATGTTCCCTATAAAATTATCTTTTCAATGATGGGTCACACTTGGTACTTTCTGAATTCAAATTCTAAGGGTGATGGTCACCAGTCACCAAGGGGTGACTGATGTAGTATGACATTGAGGATAATTATTGTATTATTGTATGATAATTGAATTATTGACCCCTAAATTGTACTTAGAAATATAACCACTTCACAAATCACTGTCAGTTCAACGTCTACACTGATGATACCAAATGGCAATCGAGAACACCTATATTGTCAATATTCGACGTGTATTTTCTACTTGAAAGTTGTTTTCATCGTATTCATGTTATTGACTATACTGCTGCAAAGTATCGATCCTACTACTACAAAGAAGTAGAAATATTTGAACTTATCGCAAACCTGAAAAAATCGATATACCTAACTATTTCACAATGTTCACTATTATACAAGCTATTATTTGTTGAACTCAGCATGAATATTCCGTGTTTCTATTCACAAGTTTCCGAAACTACATTATTATATTCTGTTCTTGAAACTGGGAATATATTTGCATCACAGATTGAGAATTCAAAATCAAAAAAAAAATTCTACGTATGATCAACGATAAGTTTCAATTATGTCACTATCTTTTATGGAAGTTCATCACAATGTTATTTTTGTTGCTATGTGTTTGTTTCCTTAATAAACATTTTTACGAAAAACGTTATGCCATCACTACACTAGCAAATTTTCTATTCAAAAATATGACTCGAATTCTCAAATATATAAATATCAATCGTATAAAAGGTTACGACGAGTAGATTTCGCTATTAAATACAATTATAATTTTGTATGAATATCTGTGGGGAAAAGTTTTATACCAACCGAAGTCATTTTATACAGACACGTAAATCGTGCGGTAACGTTTGTAACCCGAGTATTTTATTTATTAATTAACCTTCTTCCTTTTATTTTGTGGATGCCTTTCATTGGCTCAACCTCATTCAAATTGGCCTATTCCTTTCGAAAGTTATTTCCTATAGGCGAGTTCGTGTAACATTTTTCATTGGTTAAACTGGTCCAAATTCGGTGTATTCCTAGCTTTTGATAATGCATCAAGGAATAGAGAACATAGATACACTAAATGTGCGTTTCGTTCAGTCAATAAAACGCACGTCGTGTTTTGAAAATAATAAATTGTGACACTTTATCACAAATTTATAAATACATTGTAATTGATTTGTATTTTTTTTACTTGCATATTGCAAATCCAATCAGGATAACTCTAAATAGTATAACTTATAATCAACATCACTACATAAAACTAGGTGTATGTTTAGATTGTAATTTTTGAAATGGGCGACTTTAAAGACATCCCCATATCCAATGAAGAAGCTTTAAAATTGTGTGGTTCTTCAGGAGAAGAAACAAAGGTTTCTTTTGACCCGAAACATTTACCAGTTAATAATAAAATTATTCCAGGATTTCGTTTTTCAACAAACTATGTACAGGATCAAAGATCCCAGAAAATCTTTGCCATTCTACACTGAAGTACTGGGTATGAAACTTTTGACAAAGTTGGATTTCCCATCTTTGAAATTTTCTCTCTACTTCATGGGTTATGAAGATCCTAATAATGAAGGTGATTTAAATTCGAAAGAGCGTGTGGCTTGGACATTGAGAAGAAAAGCTACAGTGGAACTAACTCAGTAATTATTTTTATTTGAGGTTCCTAGAATTTGTTTGAAAATTGTTTGTTTCAGTAATTGGGGAACAGAGAATGATGACAATTATAAACCTCACAATGGCAATGAGGAACCAAAAGGATTTGGTATGTACCATGTTCATTTGTTGTTATGAAGAGTTTGAATATCAAACAATTTCTTGGTTTATATAAATTCGATAACCTGTATTTGTAAATAATTCATATCCATTTCTCCAAAGTAATTCAGGTTGCTATGTTTACGCCATGAAAATTCGAATAATATTCTATAAATCTAATCTAAGTCATAATCTATTTTCTAATCATTCTTGTAATAAAATGGAGAGCTTAGCTTAGACCGGACTTGAATCTGATTGCAGTAAATACCAAATTTATGAATCAAGCAAACTTGTGTTCTAAGACAGGCTTATACTATACAGGGATGATAGCCATAACTCAGGACAACAATAAGAAATGTAACCTTTCAAAAACCCTTATCAATATGGAATATGATACCTACCTATGTCACCTCTCAAGGTACTCAGTTGTATTAAATTTCAGGTCACATTGGTTTAACAGTACCAGATGTCTATAAGGCTTGCGAGCGATTTGAAAAACTTGGTGTACCATTTGTGAAAAAACCTGACGATGGAAAGTTAAAGGGAATCGCTTTCATAACAGATCCTGATGGTTACTGGATTGAGATCCTCAATGCTAAAACAGTTGCTGCTATGGTCGGAGTATAAATTGTTGAAGAATATGCAAACTGATAAATAAAAACTTTATTACATAATACGAAAGTCAGTAACAAAACGTCAAAAAGTTCGGCACACTTATTGAAAAATAATATTTTATATGAAGATAAGGTACCAGTGAAAATAAAATGAATATACAATATCACCAAGGACAAATACATTTTCATTTCAGATACTATCTCCTCCCAAAAATACTCTAAGTACCACTTTATCTACATTTTACATTGATTAACTTCTAATGACTAGGATAAACTTCTGGAAGAAATAACAAATGCATTACATAAAATATATTGCCTGTACATAATAAAAAGGATCAAGAAAAAGTTTTCGATAACCATGGATAATAACAAATTTCAGATAATTACATATTACCACTGAACAATATGGTTGAATTTCTTGCATAAACACAAAAACTGAACAATATCTCTTCAAGGATGATTTCGGAATTGAAAAGCTTCTGTATTTACATTTAACAAAAGAAATACAGAAAGTATACCCATTTACAGAAATTCTTACGAGAATTCAGAGATCTTCAGCATTAACAACATCCTGGTATTTGAAATGTTAGTAAGAGATATGTATCAAGGAATGTAAAAAGTATACAAAATAAAAATGCTTACATAATATCGAAGTCTCAAAAATAGTTGAAAAAAACTACTCATTGAGAAGTCTATATAGTATGTTACATTATTTTTCAACAAATATTGTAAGGACCCAGGTAGAGCTTTCACTATTTTCTATATTATTTATACCGTTACTAATATGGAATTTGGTTTTGGTAGTACTGTATCATGTCATAAGTGCGAGTTCTAAAGTTTAGGAAGCTGTTTCTGATTATCTGCAACATATAGGTTGCCGCTTCCTTATCAGTAGCTCCTGGGTTGAATCGCCCCCTCAACAACTTTATAGTCTGGCCTCTGAAACAAGGCAATCCCGTGTCCAGCATAAGAGAAACTAGAGAGATAATGGCTTCATGATAGGGCCTGAAATAGAAATGTATTGAAATATTGTAAGAAATCTGATTATTAGGAAAAACATTTTTAAGAAAATACACAAGAAATGTAAGAAAATCTTTAAGGTGCTCTGAGAGCGACGCCTGTGCCGAAGTGACGATTATGCTGGATTTAAATAGCTATAGATTATTCAAATAACACTTTATTGGAAAATCACATCCAATTCAATCATGGCTATAGATCAATTCATGATTGATTGATTGATAATGTTTATTGTTTAAGAACAAAATTCTTGTTACAATCACAATGTCAAATAAATATTAATATAAACATGAGTATAAGATGTGAAATATACATGTATAAAATGTAAATGATTAAAATAAAATATAAACTATATATACATATGCAAAGGTTGCATGACAAGAACTAGGACAAGGATTAAAAATATGTTTTTCACACAGTACAATCGCAATTTCCACACATTATAAATTACAGGGCATCGTCAAAATATTCTTGTAGGTCACAATAGACTTTATCACTTAATAGTTTTGTACATTTCTTTCTTGATATGATGAAAGGAATCTTTTTGATTTCATTGGGAAGTTTATTGTATATCCTGATCCCATTATATATCAACGAGTTTTGAACCAAACATGTTTTTGGAATTGGTAGATTCTGTTCATTTGACCGCCTTGTGTGGCTGTAGCTGTAGATTCATAGTTCTCCATATTTTTATGTATAATTGACACGGTTTCCAATGTAAATATTGAAATAACCGTAAGGATTCTATGTTTCAGAAAAAGGGGTTCACATGTATACCGCCATTTCACTTTACATAAGTACCTGATAGCCCTTTTCTGCAAGACAAAAACCGACTGCATAAGTTGTTTACTGCAAACACCCCAAAAGGGTATACCATGCCTTGAATGAGAGTCTAATAAGGCATAGTACACTACTTTCGCTGCAGATGTTTCTCAGTGTGAAACATCCTGATGCCAATTTTTGGTTATTGTGTGCAATATGCTGAGAGAATTTTAAATTTTTATCTTAATAAATTCCCAAAAATTTCAAAGTGGAGTTATTTTTTATTGTGTTATTGTCTAGGGGGATATCCGGTATATTACACTTGATTGCTAATATATTTGTTTTACTGGTATTCAATGATAAAAGATTCAAGCCAAACCAATTCTTCACTTTTGTCATGTCTTGGCACATTTTGTTATGCATGAAAAACGGTTTTGGAAAGTTGGTTTCAGAAATATGCTTCTGTATAATACAGCTATCACAGCTCAAAAATATTTGCAATAATAACCCCAGAAGGCAATTTTATACATACCTAAAGAGTAATTTGGTCAATGCATATAATTGTACCAAGTTTTAATATATATTTTTTTAATACGTATAGTGACTACATGTATTGTGACGCCCGAAAATGCTATCATATTTTCCTTAGCTTAGTTTTGTGAACCATTTATTCATTTTGCTGTGGCATTTTAATATCTTTCTCTGTTGCTATCTTTGAAATACTCAAAATTGGCATTCATTGTATTTCTCAACATATATGATGGAATTAGCCGATACTTGATGAAAATCCATAACATATTCAAAAAACACTGTATTGTGAGGATAGTTTTACAAAAAGCAACACATGTTTCGTTAGTAAAGACACGCCTGAAGAAGCTATTGTATGGTGAAACAAGTGTTGCGTTTTTTAAACTGTTTAGCGAAAATCTCACAATAAAATGTTTTTTGAATATATTTTTCAACAGTTTTTAAGGATCTTGAATTTTTGCAATAACTGATACCGGCTATTATCCGAGAATTGTGAACATGTAGAAAAAAAATTCTGCAATTATGAGTAAGTTTAGGTTGGCAAGGTCGAAATGTAAATAGAAAAAATACCTTACATACTTCATCTGTGAACAAAATATTACGGGTAACATATAAAATAAAGTCGCTACAGCTGTACGCGAAAGAAAATTCATTACCTTACTGCAAGATATGCTTGAACGCAAAGATCAGAAAACCATTTAAATGGTGCTGCCTCCATTTTCCCACCCATTATCATGACCATTTCGTCTGTCAGCTTGATATCAGGCTCAAATCCCAAGTTGCCCCCAGGAGATGATTCAAACATGAAACCAAAATCTGAAATAGAATTTGAAAATCAGTCCCAAAAAAACCGCTGTATAACTGAATTATTACCGATATGTATGATATGACCATCAGTATCTAACATAATATTGCCATTATGTCTGTCTTTGATTTGCAGAAGAAATCCTATGACGCTATAGGCTGCCATCGAAACAATGAAGTTTCTCCTGGCGTTCTGAAACTCTTTTGTACTCTCATCTCCATACTTTTTTAAAAAGTATTCATACATTCCTATATCCGTTTGCCTGCCGAGCTGATCACGAGATTTTGCATTGGGGACACATTCTATTACTCCACACTGTGACATAAAAACAGTGAATGGATATGAATACCAAGAAACCACCATTTATTCCAGATTACTGTTACATAGTGAACTGAAACTTACCCCAGGCGCAGTAGCTACAACCCTGTAAGGAAACAGATATAATTCCAGCCCTACTGTTTGGAAAACATTTTTGAAAATCCCAATCACTTGCAAGGCAAGCATATCCTGTCGCACATCATCTCCTACTTTGAAAATTGCGGCTTGCCACATTTCTGGTCCAAAACTTTGTTGTTCGCGGGTCTGTAAAGTATCTTTCATGTATTCTAACAAAAGTCACATTTTGATCACAAACCTACATGTAGCAATACAATGTTCATGCAATAAAAATAAATATGATTTATCTCTTTCACACAAAATCGATCATCTCTTCAATCATGGTTTACAATGACATGAAACATCACGATATTCCCAATGTCAGTGACTACCTAGTTCTACATACATTCAAAATCACAATGTAAAAGACAAATACAACACTCATAACAAGTTACAAGTATGATGAAAGACCAGTATTACAATTTACGCATTTACAGAAAGGAACAATTTCAATTTCAGGTGTTCTGGTAGTACATATATCATAAAGATAGCCCCTAGAATGAAATTTTGTGATGAGTTCTAGTCATAAATTAAATCAAGCAAATGTTGTTCTTTTCTGTTGTATCGTGATTCTGTGCATCACTGTGTTTATCAAATCTATATTTATTAAAGTGAAAATATATTGGAAGCTTATAAAGGGATGTGCATGTGCAATTCAGGTGTAACTGAGATAGAAAGATGAACCTATAAATCTTTATTGAAAGATGAAAACATGTGATATTTTAATTGCTCTGCCCCAATCCTGCTTTATACTAGAACATAATGAATGCTGATGAAATGGCTTCTGTGAAAAATATGTTTTGAGGTGATAAGTGCAAATTTGTTTGTATATGAGCTTTCTGGGTGGAGGTCTAAAATTTAATCTGGAAGTTAAGTGGTAGAACAAACCTGTAGTGTTCTACACTGCAGTTTTGAACTTCACCTCTTGGTTGTTATATTCCATTTCACCCAATAAAAACCATTATTTTTTTTACCGTAGTGTGCGCTGGTTATATATGTTTTTAAAAAATGTTTAAAATATGTTTTTTTCCGTTAACCAGAAGTCGAAACCTGTGCGAGCTAAGGAGTAACGAGGTCTTATTTTTCAACGTGTGATTTCTAACACGGGTTGGACAATAGCAAGTGAAAATCGATCGTTCAGACTAGGGCTTGAACCATCGACCAACACGGCGGTCAATTCGAGTGAGTGAACAAAGCACCCACGTCGAACCGCCCGACCGACCGATGTATACTATAAGCACATAAGTAAAATTATTTTCCTCTGTTTCACAACATTGGATACATGAAAATAAGTCTGACGAGTATCAAAGAGAGATACGTACTAGAAAATAAATATTTTGAAATAAAATCTCGAAATATTCAACTTTTTCTTGTCTACTGTATTACACGATGTATCTAATATGATTACTAAAATTATTTTATTGTCATCATCATTATTGCGAATGTATTTCAAAATAAACACTCTTACAAAGCTGAATGCTTGTCTACTGTATTACACGATGTATCTAATATGATTACTAAAATTATTTTATTGTCATCATTATTATTGCGAATGTATTTCAAAATAAACACTCTTACAAAGCATTCAAACCTACATCTCAATATTCAAAGTATTTCAAACTCATACCTGATTATTGGAAACTGCCATAGCAATACTTTCCAGTTCATTGATACCACATCGAGCTACCTTGAACCTGGCAAGGTAAGGAGCTTTGGCAGCGCTTTGCATTGGGGTCCCACTCTTGTAATCGATATCTAGGACCATAGCTTCAGGATTACTAGGAAGGTAACATCCTGGTTGAACCTTAATGAATGTTAATATAAGATATAAATATTCAAATGTTAATCCGACAATTTATGAACCTTGATTTTGCTCAAAGCCTCTAAGCAAGCTTTTTTCCTTTCTGCGCCCTTCGGAATTGGTCGAATTTCACCAGATATATTGGTGATTTTATCAAAGAAATCAAACTCTCTTTCATAGAAGAGTTTTGCAGGACCAGACAAATCACCCACTATGCTGTTTGTGATCGACTCCAAAGTTTCAAATAAGACATCTGAAAATCGAAGTGTTTTAGGACATAACTGAAGGTTTCGAAAACAAAGAATCAACACTTGGCATATTACTCGATCTGAGCAAGGCGTTCGACTGCGTCTCTACTAACATTTTATTAGAAAAACTGAGATACTATGGATTTGTAGGCATAGCACACAATCTGCTAGCATCATATCTAAATGAGAGAAAGCAATGTGTATCATATAATGAAGAACTCAGTAGCTTACAAACGATATTGAATGGTGTTCCACAAGGTAGTGTGCTTGGGCCACTACTTTTCTTGATTAATATTAATGACCTGCCAAATTCAATGACAATGTTTACAATGCTATTCGCCGATGACACTTCCTTCGCCATTCGGGAAAAAAATATTGAAGAGTTATCAGAACTAGAAAAGCGAGTTATTCAAGAAGCTACGGACTAGTTTATTGCGCATAGCCTATGTGTGAATAAAAGCAAGACAGAAACAGTTATGTTCTCGCTGTCCCATAACCTCTCAAATAATGTGAAATGTCTTGGTATAACCATTGATTCAAAGTTAACTTGGAAACCCCATATTGACAAACTAGCAAAAACTCTATCATGCAAGGTCTATGCAATCAGGCAGATAAAAAATAAAGTCGGTAATGAAGCTGCCCATACCGCTTATCATGCAATGTTTCATAGTTCCTTAATTTATGGATTGATAAACTGGGGCACATCTGTTCATATCTCGAGGATATTTAATATTCAAAAAAGAGAAATCAGAGTTTTAGCTGGAATAGGATTAACTAAGGAATAGGGATTAACTTTAATATATTAACTCTGCCATCATGTGTAATATACTGCAATTTGACACACATTCAAGAAAATTTACAAAAGTTTACTACAAAGGGTAACAACCATTCTTATAATACTAGGAACAAGGATAATATTAGAGCACCAAACCAAAAACTAGAAATAACAAGAAGATGTAACTCATACATATCATTGTACAAATCACTGCTTCAATCAATGAAAAATGCAACTCTCGCTAATTTCAAACGGAAACTGAAAAAACATCTCTCAGAGAATGCTTACTATGATGCGTCTGACTTCAGCTTTACAGAGTGACTATCGTTAATGTAGGTACTGTCTCTATGTATCTTTATTTTTACATTTTTATTTCTACATTTATATATTTATTAATTTTATTTTGTGCTTGTATCATATACACTTTTTATGTACTACCTACTCCTTTTCGGTAATTTTAATTGTAATTTACATTTATTTTATACATTACTGACTTGTCATAGCACTAAGGTGTAATAACTTGACCAATAAAAAATCTAATCTAATCTAATTAAATGCCAACATTATGGAACTGAGATTTAACTATAAAAAACAGTAAACTTAAATGTTAAAAAAAAAATCACAATTTTCTAAATTTCATTATTGAATAAGGTTTTAAAAGATGTGAAAAAGAGTTCAAAGTTTATACAATCTCATTACTCACGATCTTTCTGCATCATATCTTCGTCCACGAACATATTTGTTTTCATATTCCATATAAGTTGATGGGCAACGATTTGAGATTTCTTTGCAATATATTTGATGAATTCAGTAACGTAACCCATCTAGAAAAATTACGAGTAAAAAAGTTCCTTTCAGAAACATAATAATGGATCGTTTACTTACCTTGTCATGCCGCAAAGCCTGCACTAATTGAGGAATATAAAACAAAACAGCATCTGCTGGGTACGAGCTAAGCACTCTAACGGCATATTGTGCAGAGATGGGATGAGACGGAAATTGTCTACTGAAGTACGCTAGTGCCTGTGGCAGAAATTAATAGTCACATTACTGTCATAATTACTGATAACACTAACCTGGATTGGGGTAATTTTACTCCAAGTTAACATATGCCCCAGTTTTGTACTATCACTGAGGATAGCTTCCGTTGTAGCCAAATATTGTAGAGCCTCTGGAATATGAGATACACACGTAGGATTCATCTGGACTAGAGTTTTGATCTCACTGATTATAGCATCGTTTGTTCTGAACCTAAAACAGCAAATTATTTGACCCATGTACAATTTTGTATCATTTTCATAAAATTCGTCAGCAATAAATCAATTAGTATATTTTATATTCCATATTTGAACTCGCAGATCTGACAATTCAATTCTAGTATACGGAACATTAGACAAAACATTTCCATCATTTCGTTTCAATTATTTTGTGACTCATTACGGATGCACAAATTGATTACGTATTTTCATTCTTTCATGGACCTAACTTTAAATACAGACCTTGTCGGTAAGTACACAGCAAGAGCTGGCGATATATCCCAAGCCAATCGTGTATAGTCATGCCACTGCTTTTCAGTAATTGTTTTTGCTCGCCATGAAGCTAAATTTTCTTCTCCTGGTATAGACAGCTCTGGACGGAATGTTGGATTATGCCACACTACTAAGAACTCTATTTCCACAGCCTGAAAGAAATGATAACTGGTAAAAGTTCTTTGATAATAAAAAATGTTTCACTTGGGTTTACCATTAATTCAAGTATCAAATTCCTTTTCTTCAAATAGCATTTGACAAAGTTGTCAGCAACAGGAACCCTTTTAGACTTTGCGGATCTTCTGCTTAAAGTGGCTGTACTGTTGGACAGTGGTACAGTGTTTATCCAACCGGTATTTGGTTTATTGAAATCGCTAGGTTTGGCAAGTTCATTGTTGTTTATTGTCGAAAGAGGAGTTGTTGGCCCTAAATCTAAATCTGAAAATCAAATTTATGAATGTTAGTGTCAGTGTACGAACCCCCACACCTGACACCAATTCATGTAGTTCACTGAAAATTCTGATTTTAGTTTGATTTCAAGTAAAATGATCCTGAAGATGTTACCGAGCATCTACCAGAGGATTTACTTCACAGGCCAGGTCACACAATAAGTGTGAATAAACAGTCTCATGTATAAAATAATTTACATATATTGATTTTTCTCACCTCCGACGTCGCTAGCTTTAAGGTACTTCTTATCCGAATGTAGGGTTTGCCAAAACCTCACCAAAGTAGTGATATCTTCCCGAAGTTCTCCTGGATTCTGAATTGGACACGTCACAGGTTTACAAAAATAATCCAAGCAGCTGCAGTATATTCTCTCTCTTAACACGTTTTTAGCTAGACTTTTTGGCAGTATGTCGCCTTGTAATAAAGATAAACCGCAAGATAATAGCCTGAAAGAGGGAATAAGCTACCGCCAAGAAGTCATTTTATGAATGATTAGATCACGCACTTGAACCGAATACCGATGGCTGAAACATGTCTGGTTTGTGGAGGAGGATCTGAACCAACATACATTGCAAGAGAATGATGTATCAAACTAGCAATCATCTCAACTTTCTCATAACTGCTGTACTTTATAGTTTCAACGAGTTCACAAATAAATTGCACCCAGATCCCATGTGGTTTGACAAAGGGTGGATCAGGTTCCAAATAGCAACCTGAAATATATTCACTGACATATTGCTGTGATAGATAGCAATTTTACTTGTGTACTTTACCTTCATATGCTGCTAATGGACTAGTTTGAAGCCTGGATACAGAGAATAAACCTAAACGTTTCTGAACAGTACACTTCCAAGCCGACACCATTTCCTGTAAAAATCTCACTTCCAATTCTGGTTTAGAGGTTATCAGCCACTGCCAACATTCAACTGCAGTTCGCATTGCTTCGACAGTGAACAATTCAACCTAAAAATATGTTGGAAATCAAACTAGAACTTGGAGCACGAAAAGTGTTTTACTTGTGACCAAGCGATGCAGTGTAGTAGGTTTCTGTTCAGCTCGGAGGTCGAAATCAAGAGTGCAGTTGCCTGCCAGAGAGCATCTCTATGTAAAGCGTCAGATCTGTCCTTACACGCACTCCATACTCTCTTAAGAATGAGTTCCACGAGGGAGTTACCGTCATCTTTTCCAAAGATGGTCTGCATTCCGATTACCTTAAGAGATTATTCAATTATACACATATCATGAGTGAAGATCGTCACAAACTCCCTCCTTTTCAATCAACCTCTACTTGTCTTATTTGAAAAACACCCAATAATGAATTATAAGAGCTCAGTCCTTTTGAAAAAATTATATTACTATCTCATTCTCACCTCTCCAATATATTTGGATCTCATTGCCGAAGTAGATATTAATTTTGAGGAATCGCTTTTAACACATTTCGGTCTCTTTTCCAAAGTGTTAGTGCTCAAGGGGGCGCTATATAAGTTTGGTGGACCCCATTGAAGCACCGATTCTAGTGCCATGGATAAACCGGTGTGATGCCACATTCCCGAAATGGGTATCTGATTGATGTATTCTTGAACGTGTGACCTTGTCCACTGCGGAGCCCACTTCATGGCCTCTCTTATTATACGCTCTGAATTTGCAGCAAAATCCTTGACAATGCTCTGAAAGAGATGTGAATTTGAAAAACTCATGAATTAAACTCAACTTTATTTTGTTCAAACTTGCATTTGCTGTAATAACCCAAATTGAGGAACATTCCCCATTATAGAAGAATATTCTTCTGTTATTCCCAATTGTAACCAATATAACCATTCAACAAGATAAACAGGCAATCTAAAAGTAATGAAAATGAATAAAGCTATCAAATTTCACAAAGGCTTTAAAAAATTTAATGAAAACTGTACATATTCTCTAATATGCGTTTTTATGTGTTCGCTGTTGATGATCATCTTTTGAAAATCACAATCTCAAGCCTTTGTGAAACACAGAATTGCCTATCAGTGTCAAGTTTAGAGATTTTGAGTGGATTAGCCTGTCATGTAACATATGATTTACTACTCTCGGTATATTTGGACCAATTTTTTTATACCAGACTTGCTGTCTCGAGAATGAATATTAATACCACTGTTTATATGTTTATTGAATAATGGCCTACAGTTTATTGAGTAATGGCCTTAACTGACAAAGTTAAGGCCTAAAACAATCTTGAGTTAAGGTAAAGTAAAACACACACACAGAAATAAGAAATGGAACTATAAGTCAACACCGACATTATACTAGAATGTCTCATATCTACAATATATAAAATTTAGCACATGAGAAACATCTTACAACATATTAATAAAAAGACTTGAAGTTAGAATGCGTCATTATAAAATTCTTGTAAACTATAATAGGGTTTATCCAACAAGAAAGCTTTTAATTCCTTTCTGGAATGTTCTACTGAACATATTTCTTTAATGTGTGATTCAATATTCATATATTTGAGAGTATTTGTTTCGGATGGGCTTTTTCTTCCAGTTTGTATTCAAAAGTAACTTCTGTCTTTATGAAGAGCCTCTTTTGAACTTAATTACTTTCTTTACCAAGCATGTTACCAAAAACATTAAATGTAATCTGAATCCCATACCTGACACCATTTAGTGTTTTTCAATAAATACAAATACACTCAGTCAAATGATATTGACTGAAATATCCCTAAGGGTATTGCAATAATTTTTCATTCATCAAATAAAGTAAAGCACTTCTGTAAGAGACACTTAGTGTATTCTCTATGGAAAAAAATCTAGTAGCAAATAAATAGAAGAATGATTTGGAGAAATGGATTCAATATGTATGCCAATTATCTATTTGGAAAATCTTACCTCCCTTGCCTCCAAAGTATCCATCAGCTGAATTGAATAGGGAGTTTGAGGAATTCGGAGAGTAGGCGTTTCTTGATTCGGGTCGATTTGCAACGAGTACGACAAAACTTGTAAAATATCCAGCATGGTCCAAAGAACCCTGGAACCAAAAACTTTCAAGATTGTTTTCATCATGTATTTCATCGAATTCCCACCTTCTGCTCCATAACAAATGCGGAAATTTATCCACCAAACTGGCCAGAAACTTGTCGGAAACTCTTCGGATCTGCTTGTGTTGGTGATTGAAGTTGACTAAAAGGAACTGGGCATGTTGTTCGAGGTCCACCTCCCTATCTTCGTTCTTCGGTTTGTCCTTCATCACTTCCAAGAATTTTTCAAAGACTCTTTCGCTGACGGAAGAAACGCAGTTCCACATTCCAGCTTTGTCCTTCTGCAGTGCAGAATCACTCAAGTAGTCGGATATTATGGGTACCAAACTAGGTTCGCCTGAATGTTGAACTCTGGAAATATTTCAAAGTGTTCTCAATTTGCTGAAGATTCAAATACTTCACGTTTACTAACCTCAAAGTTTCGACCCAAAAAACGCTTAATAAAAACGTGCACTGGGCAAATGACAGCTTATTTATGTAAGCAGTTGCGTCTGCAGGATGCTTCAGTAAATCTAATATTTGCGTTCTCAACTCATGGAGCTCATTTACTGAGACACTGTCATTTCTCACTGCGCTGGTGTATTGCAACTCTCGCATTTCCGACCTGCTCGAAGTGGGAGACACCAAAGCTGGAGACTTCACAGCTATCTCTTTTACTCCTTCGTACCATTCTACTGGCCACAAGCCTTGAAATACAAACAGTCAAATAGAAAGTTGAAGCAACACATTCAATATTTGACAAAAAATCAATAATAACACCAATAGTAGCAAAACTGAAAATGTAATTTTTTGGAACTGAGACTTCATTCAACCTTGAAATTATATCTTTTACAACATACATCTTTGTCCCCTCCTGCGAATTGAAGATCTTCATATTCTGGAAGAAGCAGCACAAAAGCATTTTGAAGCCCATTCATCTCAACAAAACTATTCAGAATACAGTGAACTTAGATCCAGATGCAAACTCCTCTTTAAAGAGTTCTATAAAAATTATGTAACAGACACCAAATCACACATACTATCATTTATTTTTCTGGAGATATGTTAACTCAAAAAGGAAGTATAATTCTATACTTAACAAAATGCATTTAAACAACACTCACGTAAACTCTGGTCAAGGTATCGCTAATTTGTTCGCTGACTACTCAGACGCCACCTATCAATTACCCATCATACCTAATTTCCATATCAAAATATCTGGAATATATAATAAACTTTGTCATACTTGTGATGCACTGTTTGGAACCTTAGGTGTAGTAATGAATATTAAATAGAAAGATAGAACTCCTGTTATATTCAAACTATATCATTCTGCAGCTTCACACTTTCATATGCCACACATTTATTTAAAATATATTGCCTACCTACATATTATCAGGGCCGTCTTTAACCTATTCGAGGCCCTGGGCATATTAGGATAATGGGGCCCTTATGACTTTGTCAGAACACTATTTTGTTGGAATAGACAAAAAAAGTAGATAAACAAGGTTAAATATTTATTTTTATTAACAATCACATGAAACGAATAGATAAATGTAATATAGTCCACAAAAGTGATTTAGGGGTGTGGAAAAATTACTTTAACCAATATTTTATTGAATTTGGTCATTATTACGCCTTGGTCAAAGACGAAACGGACTGGTTTAAGTTTGACGATAGTCGTGTCAAGTGTTTTGTTTTATGAGAGAGAGGACATTGATAAATCAAGATCTTCAGATGATGTGGTGCTGCAGGTTTTTCCGGGTTTTCCTGCAGCTGAAAAAGCAAATGCGCCACTGGATTCAATGAGGTCGCCCCGTAGCGCCAATTAATTTTGATTGTTGTTTTTATTTTTATCGATGTTTTATAATCACAGAATTACATTCAACAATAGTTAGTAAGAATTTAATATTGTTGTATTAGAGATTGCACTAAAGATAAAAACATATTAATGTATTGTATTTTATAACAGTGAATAAGAGAAATCGCGGTTGGTAACAGGAGTCCCTAGTGGGCCGGTCGGGTCCACATTTTGTTGCAGGTAGCATAGTTGTAGTGGACGACTGGGAGGGCTGTTGGACGAGAGTATAAGAAGTGGAGGCCTCGTAGATTTTAGTCATTTAGGTTCGAGAGTTGGTTTGGAGGGTTTGATTTCAATTTTATATGTAATTTCTTAATTAAATTAATTGGTTAATTCAAACTTGGAACTTCATACTTCGCTTCGTTAACTCAATTTAAATTGAGCGAGTCACACTGATGAGTGTACTACTGATGATTTTTCTTTGAAATGTGTATGTGCTTAGTATACCATTATATATTCAAATTTATCTAAGCATGCTGAAGTCGGAAATCCTAATTTTTGGGCGATAGTAGAATAACTTCGCGTATATAAAAGCTAGTAAGTTGGTATTGTAGTCAGTAATTTAGGTTCGATTTCTTCGAATCATATAAGTTTATTGGTAATAAATATTGGTTATCGTTTGGTGATCTGACAGAAACTAGGGATTTTGTATTTGATCTGAGGGGGGTCTCTATCGATCGCGGGGCCCGGGGCACTTGCCCAAAGTGCCCATTGGGACAGAGGGGTCTGCATATTACTTGAAAAAAAAAGATTCTATCAAACCATTTCATTTTCTGCATATTTGAATAGTATATTTATTCAACAAGCCGCACGATGTTCAAAATTTGCGTTATACAATCACACGTGTGTGGAAGGTTATCTGCACAAGTAGCGCACTATACTTTTTCTACGATCCACTTCAAACCACATATTTTACAACTCAATGGCTAATTATGACTGCAGAAATGTATATTGACGGGTACATTGCAGGTACATCATCTTCAATTTTCACTGACTTTTCTATCATTTTAGGAATAGATATTTCACTGAAAGATGATGTAATATGAAAAATATAAGCAACTATAATTTATAAAGCCTTATAGATGTGGTGTAGTACAATGATAGATAGATATTTTTATTTGACCACGTTATGTATACACATTTGTAGCAAGTCGTACAGAATACACAATTTGAAGTTACACAATAAGAAGAAAAAAAATACATATACATATATACACACACATATACATAAATATGTAATAGATGAGTTACAAATACAGATAAAAAACAATTAGACCTTGGAGTAAAGATATTACAGCAGGTTAGGAGAATAGAAGTCAACTCATAATTTATATAATTCAGTTGGCAGTTCTTAAATTCATCGAGAGAAGAGAATGCGTTATTATTTAAAAATGCTTTAATTATTCTCTTGAACTTGCTTTTGCTCAAATTTTTAATGTAGGCGGGAAATTTATTGAAGATGTGCAAGTCGAGCGAATTTTTGGTCGAGGTAGTGAGTCTATATCGCGGATTGATCAACTGATTGTTTCTTGTAATATAATTATGCGTATCGGAGTGAGTTTGGTAGATACCGATGTTCTTGTGGATCTGTAACAGGCAATAAAAAATATACGCTGAATATAGTGACATAATTTTGAATTCGGTAAAGTCGTTTCTACAAGATGGCCTTTTTCTGTATTCGGAGAACTTTAAGTGAGAGACTAGTGTGTATCAGTCTATTGATCAAACTGCCCCAGCTTCAATTACAGGCCAAGTCAAGAATTTTTACTTTCTTTAGTTTGACAGAATGTGGGAATGGCAGTGTGTAAAATAATAATAAATCTTTACCAGGTGATTTGTCGCTAGCTCTTTTTCCCTCCAAACCTAGTTGTACAAATAGTTCTAGCAAACGGCCCAATAATTCAATCATTTGAGGTTCACCTTGTATATTATCTGCGATGTTTGCCAGGGCGTTCATAACTGGCCTCGATACATGTCTGAAAAATAAAAGCAGAAAAACCATTCAACTAGTCATCGGAGGTCTCAAATCTAAAATGTGTTCGGGGTGCTTTGATGTGACGGTGACATTGAATTAGTTAGGATGTGTAGCTACTGAACTCTTTGAATCTTATTTGGAGTGCTTCTGATGTGACAGAACTGCAATCAGTTTTAGTTATTCATAAACGAGCTGTGTATTTTCTCTGTAAGACAAAATCATGGAATTCTTGCAGACCACTTTTTGAAGAAAGAAAAATTCTTACTGTAATAGAGATTTTTATTACTAAAACTATGTTTCATAGTAATGAGTGATTTTTTTGCTGGAATCTTTTTGGCAACACTGTTTTTGACAGATCACGCTTGAATCGTGTCTTGTGCCATTGTCAAACTTGTTCAGTTTGGTCTATAATTTAACCATGAATCGACTTACGAATGAACAACGCTTGCAAATTATTGAATTTCATTATCAAAATTCATGCTCGGTGAAGAAAGTGCATCGTGCACTTCTTCCAATTTATGGGCAGTTTCGTTGGCCTTCTGAGGGAGCTATTCGGAAGCTTGTGACTAAATTTCGAACCCAGTTTACATTATTGGACACGCATACGTAGAGTGAGGACCAAAGAAAATATTGCGGCTGTATCTACCAGTGTTCGTGATGACCATGAAATGTCGATTCGCCGCCGTTCGCAGCAATTTGGCCTCTGTTACTCCACTACGTGGAAAATTTTGCAAAAGGATTTGGGTGTAAAACCTTATAAGATACAGCTGGTGCAAGAATTGAAGCCACACGACCCCCCACAACGTCTAACATTTGGTGAATGGGCGCTGGCAAAGTTGGAGGAAGATCCACATTTTTATCGAAAAATTGTGTTCAGCAAAGAGGGTCATTTCTGGTTGAATGGATATGTTAACAAGCAAAATTGCTGCATCTGGAGTGAAGTCCAGCCACAAGTATTGCAAGAGCTACCGATGCATCCCGAAAAAGTCACTGTTTGGTGTGGATTATGGATCGGTGGCATCATCGGGCCGTACTTCTTCAAAGACAACAATGACCGGAACGTTACTGTGAATGGCGTGCGCTACCGTGCGATGATTGACGACTTTTTGTTGCCCAAAATGGAACAATTGGACATGCCTGACATGTAGTTTCAACAAGACGGTGCCACATGCCACACGGCACGCGAAACATTGGCATAATTAAGAGCCGCCTTTGGTGAACAGTTTATCGTACGTTTGGGGCCTGTCAATTGGCCGCCTAGATCGTGTGATTTAACGCCTTTGGATTATTTCTTTTGGGGTCATGTTAAGGCTCATGTCTACAGGGATAAACCAGCAAGGACTGACGCTCTGGAAGCCAATATTGAAGCATTTAAACGTGAAATACCGGTCGAGAAAGTGTGTCAAAATTGGACCTTGCGCATGGGCCATCTAAAGCGGAACCGCGGACAACATTTGCATGAAATCATCTTCAAACATTAAATTATATTGATCGTTCTATCGATTCCAATAGAGATTTCATCAATTTTTTTAAATTTTTTGTGTTGTTTTGAAAATCAAATTCTATACCTCTTAAAAAATCACATCAAACTTCAATCACTATACGGGGTCTGTTAAAAAAATAAGGTGAATGTTCAAATTTCGCGGACTATACGTACATTCGATTAGCGATTTTTTATGTTGGTGTACTAGCCTCAAATATATGTTCACAGTTTCAGGTGTTTTGCATGTTGTTGTTGATGAGAGGCATAAAAATCAAAAGTGTTTTGCGTGTACGGCGATTTTCTGCTATCGAAAAAAAAAGGATCCAAGAATTTGAATAAAATTTTGTGTAGAAATTAAATTAATTGAAAATATAGGGTGGGCCATCGAAAACTTGACATGGAGGTCTTACAAATCCTAAAAAAACGCTCAGACAGATCGATTTTTATTGGGATGTGGAGAGTTTTTTCCCCATTTACAGCGTCGTAACTTCAACCCCGGAGCAGAGGGGTGAACAACCCTTGGAATTTTAATAGAGAACTGGGGGTGAGTCGCACATCAATTGAAAGATCTTGGCATTCTCTAAACAACGGTGCACGTTTTTTTCTATTTGGACGTGCCATATCAAATTTAGAGTTGAAGTTAATTACTTCATTCTCATGTTAGCATATGCTCAATATGGGCACCTCCAGCTGGTCTGGTGATTGTGGTGGCCATTCGATAGTGCCCCGCCTCCCAATCCAGTGATCCGAAAAAGTCTGATCTGAATACTGACGAACAGGCAGAGCATAGTGCGGAGGAGCCCCATCTTGTTGAAATATTAACAGATCCTCCCGATAATTGTGGTCATTTTCAATAATATCAGTGAGAAGGGGATTAATATTATCTTCCAGAATCTCCAGATACATTTGTCCGGTTGAATTGCCTTCTAAAAACAATGGGCCAATAATATGGTCACCAAAAATTCCAGCCCATACATTTAATTTTTGTGGACGCTGAATATGCACTTCATGAAAAATGTGAGGATTTGAATCAGCCCAATAGCGACAATTATGGCGATTAACTGTACTATAAAAAAAATTCATCACTGAAGCAAACGTTGAAAACAAAATGTGGATTTTCCACCGCTCGTTCACTAACCAACTCGCAAAATTGCAAGTGTCGATCGAAATTATCTTCATTCAGTTCTTGAGTTAATTTAATCTTGTAAGGATGCATTTTGTGGGTTTTTAAAATACGCCGAATGTTAGTTCGTGACACCCCGGAAACAAATGCCAACTTTCAAATGCAAGTAACTGAAAATAAAATACATCTTCCTGTTCCAAAAACAAGCCATACAAAGTATTCTTTGATTTATGAAAGTAAAAAGCTGTATAATCTGTCGCCTCTGTCGGCGACCTCGACAAGTGTAGACGTGTAGTCTTATGTTCTCCGTATTTTGGAATATTCCTGTTGTCTAAAGATTGCCAGAAATTGCGATTTTTGCATGGTGTCTTCACTTAGTGCTCCCGCAACCATTAATTGTCTTCTTAGTGCGGACCTCTCATATAAAAACGCTATTTGTAACCTAAAGTGCATCTAAGCAAAAGCTACAATAAAGCCACGTGGTACTTGTAAATTATTGTGTCGGTCGACTGAGTTTCTTTCACTAGTGCCGAGAATTCGTAACCATTACAATGGCTGGCGTGTCCTCAAAATCAAAACATAAAATTTCTGACAAAAATAGATTATTTCAAGACAATTGGGAGGAAGAATATTTTGTTGTACCTAACAAACACAGTTCAAGTACTTGTTTGATTTGTCGAGAAACTGTGATATTAAAAAAATATAATATTATGAGACATTATAAACACAAGATGTTCAGCGATAGTTTTCCAGTCGGCTCTGCATTGCGAAAGGAAAAGCTATGCGTCTTGAAAAAGTCGTTACAGCAGCAGTGTAGTGTGAGTGTAGACAAGTGTAGACGTGTAGTCTTATGTTCTCCGTATTTTGGAATATTCCTGTTGTCTAAAGATTGCCAGAAATTGCGATTTTTGCATGGTGTCTTCACTTAGTGCTCCCGCAACCATTAATTGTCTTCTNAGAAATTCACAAGACAGGACATTGTATGCCTTTGGCCTAGTAAACCCTACGCTGGATTGATTGACGAATTTATCGTGAGTCTCAATAACACCAACACTGTAGTCATACTGAAGCAATATCAACGATATGGACCCAGGAGGACCCAAGAGATATACCAAGAAAATATATCATTCATCAAGGCACTACATATAAGAAACTTGAATCTAACACATGTTATGGACATAAACTCAATACTGAAGTGGACTAACTATCATAGAAATGGAACAATAAACAACATTGGAAAACATTTTCTTTCTAAGGCCCTTCTCAAATGCGCGGATGATAACACCACAACATGCAAGATAACCGCTGAGTCTATACGACCATCAACACCTTCTCCAGCTCACGACAATGTTGACAACCCCACGAAACAAGACGGGCACTATCGAAACAATAATAATTATGATGAGGAAAAAACACAAAACAAAACTTCAAGTTACTCTGAAGAGAGAAGCAGATCGGACCTCCAAATAAAGGCACATTTGACGCATTCGTCTTTTTTAGCCAGAAAGCAAAATGTCACGAAAAGTACTTAACCTTTTTCACTTTGAATATTCAATCTGTTCGTAATAAAATAGATGAACTCACATTATTGTTGGAAGAACTCGAATATCCAAATTTTCTTTCATTAACCGAACACTGGCTAAAAAAGACAGAACCGCTACCTCTACCTTGTTACAGGGCGATGTCTATGTTTTGTAGAAGTGAGTATTTACATGGAGGCACAGCTATCCTTGTTCACGATTCTCTATTTGAGAACTTTACAATCAGAAGTATAGAAATATAACCAGCAAATTATTATGTCAGTTTCAATGTCACAAAAATTTAACAGTGACGAGAGCGTCGTACGAAATTTGTTATTTACTAGGAAAACATATGAAACCATTTAGTGACGCTGAGATTGTGAAGGAGTGTTTTATAAATCCTTCACATATATTATTTGAAAAGTTTTGCAACAAAGCACAGATATCACGAATCACGAAACTACAGCTCTCAGATTCCACCTGCGTTAGGCGAATTGAAGTAGCAGGCGTTTGAGACTAGCATGTAGTAATTATGTGCCAGATTTATCAGAAATTGTAAATAGTTTGCGTCAATGTCAATCATCACATTAATTTTTTAATAAATGGTTCTTTTTTACAGTTGCATTTTATTGTATTTTACATACAACGTCTAACTCTAATAACGCAAAACCTGAAAGTAGTTTGTTCAGTTCAGTTTTATTATTGCGGCCCGCAAGGTCTAGCAGTAGCGACTATATGGCCTAAGAGGAAAAAAGGTTTAAGTACCCCTGATCTATACTATTTGTGTAATATTCTATAACATTTTTTTATATATAGATAAAACATAGAGAGAGACAGAGAGAGAGAAAACATTAAAAACTTTCATCCAGAGAGCAAGCAATCTGAAATTCCCAAACTACTGGACGGTTTGATAACTAAAAAAATTACATTCGATACAAAAAACATAATAAAACACCAACATGGCTTCATATCTGGTAAATCTACCACTACGAATTTATTGCCATCAATGGTAACATGTCAAAATGGATGAAGAGCCATTTGGGAAATAGTATGTTATCGAACTATGTGCTATACTAATATGCCTATTCCAAAATCTTCTCCAATTAGAGATTATTTCATTAATAATAGGTTGAAAATAAAGGGTGGGCCATCGAAAACTTGACATGGAGGTTTTGGGTACTAATCTTACAAATCCTAAAAAACGCTCAGACAGGTCGATTTTTATTGGGAGGTGGACAGGTTTTTTCCCCATTTACAGCGTCGTCACTTCAACCCCGGAGCAGAGGGGTGAACAACAATTGGAATTTTAATAGGGAACTAGGGGCGAGTCGCACATCATTTGAAAGATCTTGGCATTTTCTAAACAACGCTGTACTTTTTTTTTTATTTGGACGAATAATATCAAATTTAGAGTTGAAGTTACTTACTTTATTCTCATGTTAGCATATACTCAACATGGGCACCTCCAGCTTCCATGCAATAATAGAGATTCTGCTGGAAATGTTCTAGAACATTGTGGAGCATTTCTGGAGTGATTTGGCGACATTCATTTGTGATTCGTTGTCGTAAATCTTCGAGTGATGCAGGAGAAGTACAGTAAATTCTACTTTTCAAATAACCCCACAGAAAGAAATCTAACGGCGACAGGTTTGGTGATTGTGGTGGCCATTCGATAGTGCCCCGCCTCCCAATCCAGTGATCCGGAAAAATCTGATCTGAATACTGCCCAACAGGCAGAGCATAGAGCGGAGGAGCCCCATCTTGTTGAAATATTAACAGATCCTTCCGATAATTGTGGTCATGTTCAATAATATCAGTGAGAAGGGGATTAATATTATCTTCCTGAAGCTTAAGATACATTTGTCCGGTTAAATTGCCTTCTGAAAACAATTGGCCAACAATACGGTCACCAAAAATTCCAGCCCATACATTTAATTTTTGTGGACGTTGAACAAATGCTAACTTTCTTGTGCTCAAAGTAGGGTTAAGCTCAACATGGCCCATAAATTGCCACTTGTGTCGCCTCATTTGTTACTGGTGGTTGGATTTGCCGTTTTGTATTTGCTACAGATCCAGTTGCACGAAATTTTGCAATTAATTCGAAAACATACTGTCGCGACACATTCTTCCCATGTTGTTGATTGAACAGCTCTCGCAGCATAACGTCTATTTCCATAGTACAGTTCAATCAACTCAACCCTCTCTGCAGTTGTGTAAACTATTGTTTCTTTAGCAACACTGTACGGCACTCACTACTAGTAATAATGTAGATATCACTTTTAACATAAAAATGAGAAACTGAAACAGCATTTTTAACCATTTCTCAATTGTAATAGTCCTCTTATCAGGGAAGAACAAAAAAGTAGCGTAAGAAACAAATGAGAGAGTTCCAAATACATTCCAACTGAGCAGTGGCATACAACGATTTGTTGCTATCAACAATATTGAAAATACGTCCAAATTTATCTTTTAAACGATGTGAGCTTGCCCCCTGTTCCCTATTAAAATTCCAAGGGTTGTTTACCCCTCTGCTCTGGGGTTGAAGTGACGACGCTGTAAATGGGGAAAAACTGTCCCCCTCCTAATAAAAATCGACCTGCCAGAGCGTTTTTTCGGATTTGCAAGATTAGTACCCAAAACCTCCATGTCAAGTTTTCGATGGCCCACCCTGTATTCAATAACATTCTGGTACAGATAAGAGATGTATGGTATGAAATATTTTTTGTGAAAGAGCCTATTATAATTGTCAGTGATTTCCTTGTTTTCCTTTTTGGATTGAAGATGGTTTCAATGTTGTGTCTATCCATAATTGGACTAGAAAGGGTTGCCTACCTATCCTGAGAGGGCCAATCACCTTTCGAAAAACTATTCCACTTTTCTCTCCAATTTTTCTTTTAGGAAAATCAGCTAATCAATGTAGATCAAAGTAGATCAATGTTGTTCACTCAGAGAACTGGGAAAGTGATTTATGTTGTTTTGAAATGCCAAGACAAATTCTTACCTATACTGGGCCTTTTCGCTGACTGAATTATAAGCAGCACTTCCACTCTCGACGGTTATCATGGTGAACATTTTCATGACAACTTCGTAGACATGTGGCTCGCACTGCGCTATTATCATACACCCCAGCTGGTCAACTATCAACGTGTCCAAAGCAGAAGGTACTCTACAAAATCTCTGTTGGAAAAAATGTAAGATGGTGTCTGTCGTTTTCGGAGTGCCTTTCATCGAAATCGCCACATGCCCCAACATAATTGTCTAGTGTTACTTGCCTGTAAGAATTATATTAGTTCATTTTGTTATACATTTTAATTTTTTCTTAATAATTTATTTGCTATCTTACTTCGGAATTGTATTATTGTTATAACTTACTTTTAATCCACTGTATTGTATCAAGTACTACATCACTGTACCACTTATATCTGAATTGGGCTTGCCCGTGTGTATATAAATGAATAAATAAATATATCATATACACCATATTCTTTACAGTTAACAATAAAATAAGTATATATCAGACATACACGTATCAAACCCACAATATAGAGACATTTAACAGTTACAATCATTCAGGAATTCTTCGCTACTGTAGTAACATTTGTCTATTAAGAAATTTTTAATGCTCCTATAGCACTGTCTGTCTGTTTGAATTTGTGTAATAGCTGACAGCAGCACATTGTAAAGGCTGACTGGATTATATAGTGGTGATTCTTTAAATGTGGTGGTTTTATGTCTAGGCACCTTCAATAAATTTCCATTACGCGTTGGATATTCATATTGATGAGGTTTTTTTAAGCAGTGACTCGTTTTTTCTGGCGTAGTTCACACATTTATATATGTATATGCAGGGAGCTGGCATAAGCCTTTCTCTAATGAATACTGGCCTACAACTCTCTAAGTAGTTCACGCCAAATATCAGTCTCACAAGTGTTTTCTGTAATACAAAGATCCTGGTGAAGTTTTTTGCACTTCCTCAAGACATATTGTAAGAAATGTGTGAATACGCCATTGCATAGTAGACACTCAGCAAACTTGACCTGCTTATACATTGCTGCATTTGTTTTATTGCAAAATATGCTTTGTTTAATTTACAACATTCACTATCAATATGTAAATCCCAAGTCAGTTGTTCATTCAATATTGTACCCAAAAATTCAGCAACACTTACAACATCAATATCAAGTGAGTCACATATGTGATCTGCAATATTGCTCCTTCTGTTGTAGTGTTTGGTAGTGTTTAAGATGAGGTGGTTAAGTTGACACCATTCTAAGAATTTTTCAATCTCACTATTTTAGGAACTCACTTCTGTTATTAAAAATTGACACTTTCTTTTCAGGATCGCATCCTGTGAAATTTAATTCACCCATTTAAAATGTTTTCACAGAATAAAAAAAATTCTATTTTACCAAAATATTGCTTATATGGAATCGATTATAATGATCATAAGCCTTTCTCTAATGAATACTGGCCTACAACTCTCTAAGTAGTTCACGCCAAATATCAGTCTCACAAGTGTTTTCTGTAATACAAAGATCCTGGTGAAGTGTTTTACACTTCCTCAAGACATAATATTGTAAGAATTTGCATAGTAGACACTCAGCAGACTTGACCTGCTTATACATTACTTCATCTGTTTTATTGCAAAATATGCTTTGTTTAATTTACAACATACACTATCAATATGTAAATCCCAAGTCAGTTGTTTATCCAAAATTGTACCAAAAAATTCAGCAACACTTACAACATCAATATCAAGTGAGTCACATATGTGATCTGGAATATTGCTCCTTCTGTTGTAGTGTTTGGTAGTGTTTAAGATGAGGTGGTTAAGTTGACACCATTCTAAGAATTTTTCAATCACACTATTTTAGGAACTCACTTCTGGTATTAAAAATTTACAGTTTCTTTTCAGGATCGCATCCTGTGAACGTTAATTCACCCATTTCAAATGTTTTCACATAATTAAAAAAATTCAATTTTACCAAAATATTGCTTATATGCAATCGATTATAATGAAATCACCATTTCACTAGCGTTTCTGTTGGTAATATCCTTCTAGGCTTCTCTGAAGAAGTTATTGTATAGTGAAACACATGTTGCGTTTAGTGAAAATCTCACAACCTGTTTCTTGAATAGAGTCTGAAGGGTTGAGACACTGGTTATGATTTACTACACAAATTACAAACATGGAACCGATTGTTGAAGGCTCATTTTCAGTACCCATATACATTTTACATCACATTGAGATTATCAATTTATTTTTTCAATTTTAGTTCTGAATTTTTGTGATATGCATACCCATAAATCTGGAATATTCTACTCTTGAGGTGCAATTGTCTGTCGTCCAACCACTGGAACTGAGATAACAATCCAAAGGTATTTCGGCACTCTTTAAAATATTGAACCATCTAACGCATCATCTACACTGTCCAGAACTAGCCAGTAAAAAGGGTTTTTATGTATCTTCACATTCAACAAGGAATAGAAGTACTTTTTTGTTACATTTTCTAAAACCAAATATGCACAAAACTCATATTTATCATGTTGAGATTAGCAAATCAAATTGAAAAAAGACTTCTTTGTGATTTTTTCTTTCACCAGATGTCTGTTAGATATCTTGATTTTCTTCAGTATGTTTGACTATTTTAAATTATTATTCAACGGCGATTTTCGTTTATTGCACTAGTATATAGATTTTCAATTTGAATTGTTATACAGGTTGAAAGTGAATTTAAGTTTATAATATAGTATACAAAATGCAAAATTCAAATATGCTCCTATAAACATGTCTTATAAATAAAATGTTTTTTTTATGAAGATAAACTTGTATTGATTTAATGAAAGAAAAGAAAACAACACATTTTTCAAAGCATCACTGTCAGCAGATATATTTATTTTTTATTTTGTATCAACATTTTCAAAAATTTGACTTTCGGCATTTCTTATCCTTTCTTTCGACTTTTTTTTAATGGAAGTAGCATCAGGCGGTTGTGAAAAAAAAGTTTTAATTACCGGAGGTAAGTTCACAATTTTTTTTTACTTTTGAGTGGCCAAATCTCCCAAACTAGAATGGAACGACAAGTTTTGACATCAGATTAGTCATCAGCGGCCAAAAAACACACGAGTCCAATTGCAAATTTTTCAAAAACTAATTCGAGCCAAAAAAACTAATATTCACAAAAAAAATATATATCAAAGTGCACATTACTAACCTGTTATTTTCATATTTTCCTTATTGCCTTTCTCATTAGCTTGCTTATGTAATTTAGAAAGAATTGGCGAAGGAGTTATGAGAAAATCTCTAAGACAATATATGGAAGTAGATGCGATATTTGGAAATTTCTGTGCCAGTTTGCCCAGTCCTTCTAGACACACCATCAACAATGGCATATGTGCCAATACTAATTTGTAGCCATGATTCGAATTTATCTTTTCAGTTAGTCTTCCGCAAAGGCTGTCAGCGCCTAGAATATGATTCAATAAAAATACTCAACTTAAACCATATGATAAGGTATACTTCGAGAAATCAGGCAGGTGAAAAACATGTATGTTACGTTGACGAGTATTTGAACAACTTGAAAAAAAAAAGATGTTCAATTGACTATGTATGAATTCTTTTTTAAAGAAAAATAGTTCACAGTTTTTGAACCTTATATGACATGCCCAAGTTCTGGTTAAAATACCATATCCTTGCCTCTCATGTGAGACATACGATTTTGTATGTACGTGTGGCAGATACTCGACAGAAAAAAGCTAACGCAGCTAATGCAGCACAGAATGTTGAAGTGAAACCATCAGGCACCTCTACAACGCCTTCCATTTGGAAGATTACTCTCAAGGACCTTCCTACACATGAAAAGCTGAAAATAATTTTATTTGGTCGGGATGACCACGGAAAGACCAGTTTCGGAGTACTACCTCCTCGCCAGTGTCGGGCGTGTCTTTTCAGACGGACTTCATCTGAATATCCCGAACAAATGATATAGCTTCCAAATTATCATATTATCTGCCGGCAGTTTGTTCGGTAGGATGTGCCTCTATGCCACCTGCAGAAAAAATTCGGAGGCAACTCCATAAACGCATATTACATAGTGGGAGCCCGAATAATAAATTTGTTCTGGAGAGGTGCATATGATATGCCCGAGTTCTGGTACATGAGAGGCAAGAGCAGAACTTAGGCACATCATACATGCTTCTCTCTGGAATATACTCATCATTCTAACTCCCACCTAGAAGTATGTGTTTGTGGAGTTGCTTTCGAATTTTGTCAACAGGTGGCGCAGTGGAAAGGGAAGAACAATTCTCCTGATTTCCCATCAAGGGAATTGCACTTCGCCCTTTGTTTTTTGCATATAAACCTACTCTACACTGTAGTATTCAGTATTATGACTAAAAACAATAAAAACTATACCGTTATTTATGTTTACGTATATCCTGCCGAATCAATTGCCTACAGAGTTTATTAAAAAAAAAAGGTTCATAGTGACCTCTTGGCAACAAGTGATGCCACACTACATCATTCTGTAAAACTTTATCAGTGTATGGAAATTAGAAATGGTTGTTCCTTTTACCATCAATTGAAAAATAATTTTAGGACCACACATTAACGTATTTTCATCTAATAAATTGTTATTTTGAAAAAATTTGTTAGTTTCACAACTTTCAAAAACAAATGAAAAAATTCACAAGTCACAAATCAAACTCATTTTAATATAAAAAATCCACTCATGATGAATAATGGATGAAAGTGTGGATGATTCAAAACCACAAAAACAATAATATTGGAAGGATCAGAAAAGTTTAATACCATTTCACACAAAACTTATCTCCATATAAAAAGAAACTAAGAAAAGTTGTTTCTCGTTCCACAAAAATATTACATTTTTGAAAATAAGTAAATTCCTTAAGAATATTAAAATAAAGAGAAAAACTGGAAGAAAAAACATAAAGTTGTAACCACCAAATTATATATATATAGAAAATTAATCAGCTGGAATTTTTCAAAATCCCAACTGACTAATTGATTGATTGATATATAAAAATGTTTTATCCTTTCCACTACCAAATATTGAAAATGAGATTTGACACTGGTTGCACTTGTTTCAAGAACAAATTAACCATTGCTTGAATAAATATAGCCGCATAAACACTACTGAAAAACAAATGCTTTCAATATCATGATTTGTCATTCCTAAATTACTCCAGGGAAGAAAATAAGTTTTGACTAATTCATAATATTATTTCTGACATCAAATTGATTGTTGAAGATGATGAAAGTTAACTTCAGGATGTGTTAATTTTTCTATGAAACACAAAGGATTCTAACGCAAAAAATACCACAACTAAGGTAAAGCTACTTATCTAATAAAAATTCAAAGAAAGCAAAACTTCTTTAATCACCTATAACAATCATTAGGAATTGAACCAAAGTTGCGAAATTATACTCCAAATCCACTGAAATGAATAACACTTTATTTAAAAACACCATTATGAATAATCCAGCTTTGCCAAAAGATGGCTAACAATTTGAAGTGAAGGGGTTATATTTTTAGGAGTGATTAATTTTTGGGAAAGAAAGTTTTTCGCTTTCTACTACTCCATCTTTGGAAGATTCCCACATTTTTTTATCAAGATGGAGTAGTAGAAAGCCAAAAATTTTCTTTCCCATGGCTAACAAATATCAAATTGAACCTTACATTAAAAATAATCTCTATTATTTTATTCTTACGATTTTATTGCCTGTTAATCAATATAAAAGTTGATCAAGTTTCATGAGTCACAGTCCTGGTTTATCTTGAAATTTGGTCCTCAGTGTCGAATAAATCAAAACTGTGTTATTATTAAAAAAATACAGTTTTTATTGACAAAGCTATAATGTTTACATATCTGGAAAAACATTTAATGGAAGTGTACACTTTTGATATAAGAAAATTTCTTAACTTTGCAGAATTTTCATAAATGAGTAAATTTTCTTGTGAGTCATTTTGGGAATTGACAAGTGACAAAAAATTATTGTTGTTTTGAGTAATCATGTCAGAATGACTCGGAATCATTTAGCGACAGTTCCTTGTTATGCATCAAATAGACAGGTTCTAAGATAAAAAAAAATCAGTGATGATCAAAACGTTCTAACATCTAACAGATATCTATCTAACACATAAGTGGTCCCTTGCTTTAACCCTGCATAAGTATTTTACAGTTTTTTTGTAATATGACAACATAATTTAGTGAATTTTAGTTGCAGAAACCCCAAAATGCTCTTGATATTAGACTATTCAAGTGAGAAGTATGTACTTTTGGCCAATATGTTGTTTGATCAAGCTCATTTGACAATATCCTCACAGTATAGCAACCTGACGCTACCCTTCTTTTCAATGACAAGACATGGTTTTCATCAACATGAGTTTCTAGAAATTTTGTACAATACTCATTTCCCACTTGATATTTATCTAAGGTGAGATTATCAAATTGGAATTCAAAGATAATAATGTATGTTTTCTTTACATTGAAAAAAAAATGTGGGTGACAATTCTAATTCAAGCTATATCTTAGCTTTCCTTCAAAAAAAAAATTGCCGACATTTTTGTTACGTTCACCAAAGTAGGTCAGTGTTTTATGACAAAAGTGAATTTCTCAAAGTTGGCTGCTTCTGGTTTACAGCTGCTTGTTCCTGTAGTTACTTAGGAAGAATGGACTTTTGTCTTATCTACCTTACTACCGAAAAATGCTACCTAATGTTGGTATAGATATTTGAAACCCTTCTGTATGTAATGCTGTTACAGAGACCTTTTGAATATCGAGTGGAAGAACAGGTTTTGCAGAGACTCCACCTTCTTCAAAATTGAACTCCATCTCTTATTTTTTTCACCATCAATGTTTGTATCTGGTTGTACATTATGAGTAAAAATAATAAAGACATCAATTATTATCATTATATATTGATGAATTATAAAATGAATTGTGTGAAAATGCATTAAAGTTGGTGAAAGTTAAATCAAGAAAATTTTAGTGATGAATTTGATAGAATGGAAGGATAAATAGAATTGATGAATTCGACAAACCTATACGATTGACTACTTGACCCAAACTCGTTATAAGTCTATGTGTTATATTATGTGTGATTGATGACTTGTTCATTTTGTGGTAATTTATAATCACTTTAATGAAATGAATGAAAACACTTTTGTCTAATTACCACTAGTTACTTTTATTTATATGACCGATTTCAGGTTTAACCCCATTATCAAGTATAAAACTGAAATGTGAAGTTTGAAGTGATAAGTCTATGCATTGATATTTTATGTATATCTTTGAGAAGCACTACTTATATGTGAGTCAACTCCACCATAAAGTGTGTCAATACATTCATAACAACTATTTTCTGCAAATACATACCTTTAACGAACTCTTGGACATCTTTTGTAAAAGGAACTGACAAATCCTTTTGGGGATGTAATAACTCTCTCATAAGTGTAACCATAACCAGATTTATGGTCTCTGAGAAAGTTTTATAGGGAAAAATCAATATTTTCCCTGTTGAACTAATCTCCATTGAGTCTTCATCAAGCAACGTCAGCACCTCTTTAGTCAAAAGTTCTTTGCTCAGCGCCAGAATGGTAGACAAGTGTTCTTGTGGAAAAATGATTCTAGGTTTTTTGTCATTGCAATCTGTTATTCGTAGTTGGGGAAATTGATTGAAACTGGATCCAAATTTCGAGAAGAAGTATGTCCTAGGGTCATAAGTACCTACATTATATTGAATACAACCACCACGTTTCAATGAATTTGAGCTGAATGCTACATCTGTAGTGTCGTAAGTTCCCTAAAAATAATAAAAAAAAAAATAGTACCTTGAAATTGAAAAGCTATTTTTTTCTTTCAATTACTGATAGTTGACTCACCCAACTCATAACTAAAAGTATACTTATACAAAGAAATTACCGCTGTCACAGCTAAAATATCAACGGCAGCATGTAGATTTCCTGACAAACTCCTGGGAATTATATTTCGAAAGCTGCTGAAGCTTCTTTTATAGGCATTTCTATCTACAGCTGCAGCCTGACTTAAAGGAGGCTCTGGTCTGGGAAATAATCTAGTTATAAGTGGTGGATCACTTGTACAAAACCTTCCTAAAGCTCTCGCCAATCCAATCAGTACTGGTAGGATTGTCTTACACAAAAATAATTTACTGGAACTGTTTCTGTTGTTTGGATCTTGCATTTTTATGACTAGATTGGTCAAAGATACCAAACATTCTACTTGTGTATCAATAATTTCTTTTCTTGAATCTTCACATTTCACTGCTATGTCAGAAAGCAAAGTGTGTAAGCAGAAACTGAATTTTTCTGCTATGGGAATACCTAGAATAGATGAACGTGAACAACTTCATTTAGGTGTGCAAAAGGTAAACTTCTAGTTCACCTCAATAAGTTACTGTCTACATTCAATATGTTTTTCACAAAGAAAAATGTTCTTTTAAAATCTGACTGCATCTTCAGAATTGAGAAAAAATTCTCAGTTTTCTCTCACTAATTCGTTTCATTATTTTATTTTTAAAATGTTTTGTTGATATCAAATATATTTTTTTTAAATTTAGGCAGTAACTTCTACTGTTATACTAGAAGTTTGCCCTCTGTACAACTGTGTAAATGAAAAGGTTGGTTGGAAAACTATATTAAATAAACATATTCAAGGACCATTAAACACACTCAAAGTAATATGGATCTCAAAGAAGATATGTTTTCAAAGGTTTCCAGTGAATAGGAAAAATAGGATGAACTGTTTGGAGTAGGAGTAGGTAAATGTGTAGTTATGTTTGATCCTTGTAAATACTATCCAGAGAGTGGATGATAGAGCCTTGATTATTATTACGAAGAATATTATGCACTCAAGGGAATGTAGTCAATATTTCATTAGTATATAACAACCGCTTGAAAAACTTTCCCGAGCATTGAAGAAATGGAGTTGATATAAACAAAAATAGAGTTGGCTTGAAAGCATAGCCCTGGGGAACGCTCAACAGACGTTCTCTAACGTTAGTTTACAAAACAAATCATTTCTTACGGTCAGTAGGATTTAATTTGATTTCATCTTGCCAATAAGCCTTTTCCAATGATTTGGCTAAACGAAGTAAATAGGGTAATATTTTGGATTTGTGTTGGAGGCCTGATTCTAGCAGAAATACTCCCAGAGCAATAACTGCATCTTGTTGTCTGCAGTTTATCACCAATGTTCCATTCTGTAGTTCTGAAGGACAAAGTGAGAACAAGGTTTGCACCTAGAAATGACGAAATCGCTAATAATAAGATCCAAAGTATACTGTAATGGAAAAAGTGCAAAGATTAATGCATACTTTTTCCCATGGAATAGCCTTGATATTAGCAAGTGATCTTGCTAAATGCTGAACGGTTTTATGAAAAAATAGTTTGTCGTCTCCTGTCATCATTTTGTTTTCAATTTAGTGAAAAATAAAAAATTCGAAGTCGTTTTCACTTTTCGTTTCACTATTTGTCTACTACTAACAACATTAACAATTAAACTGACACTTCTCACAACTGACAGTACTGACTACTGACAGTGTCAGTGATGTGACAGTGACATCTTCTGACACATGTTTCACAGAACTCATTACATATCTTAGGTCTAGAACAGGCTTATGTATTTATTGGTGTCTTTATTATGGATAATTTATGGGCACAGAAATCTGATCCATATTTGAGCAATGAGAGCTAATCAAATGTATACGTCAATATTAAGGAAGTAAGAAGAAGTAGGCACGTATGTCGTTAGAAAACGCTACTCCAGTTGTAAAGAATATTTTTTCTTATATAACATGCATGATGTTTACTCATGTTGAAAAATATTATTTTTATGATATCATGAAATGATATTGCTTGTTATACTTCCACTCGTGTAAGTTGTTTTTATCTATTGTGTAAATATGAATTAATTCGTTGAAGAATGTGCTGATTCGAGGAGAAGAGGAAAGAAAAAATAACATAACCCATTGATTTTTTTATACCATGTACATTGATTTAAGTGCCACTAGAGAGAATGGATCTGTTGAAATCTGTTTTCCATTAACTAGCTGTCGCCCCCTTACGAACTACAATTATCAGAAGTCTAAACGCGCGAGTTGAAGATTAACGAGGTCTCATCTCCCTACGTGGAACTCCTAGCATTTACAATGTTACAACAATTACCCGATTCGACCTTTCAACATATGTGAAACTCGTTCTAGTCGTAAGATATGATAATTAATTATGAGTTCTGTGGTATGTTTTTTACGTAGTGATTCATCTTCTTATTTGTGAGGAAGCCATGAATAATGAGATAATCAGCCGGCTGGACGAACACGTTTATATCCTTAATATGAAGGGATTATAGTTTTTTAATGGTTCTTGATGCCTAAGTTTCAATGATTTCAGGAATATTCAAGATCATCAATTCCATATTTGAGCCTGAACCAGAACTAACTCTGGAGATACTAAAAGTAATAATTTATGACCAGATCAGGAAAGGTGTCAATGTGAAACAAAGAGTACTGGAAAAATACATCTGGAAGCCCAAACAGAAAAATCTTTATGCAAGGACCGTTTCATTAAACACCAGAAGGATTACTCACTGCAGTGTCTATTGAAAAGACATCTAAACACAAAATAGGGCTATGTTACAGATATCTCAACTGCATGGAGTGCAACAAAGGAAAAAAGGGAGAGTTAGTCATATTTTTGTGGATGTGAGGCACTGTATCACTGGAGATAAACAATTTATGGACAACCCAAATTATGTCCAGAAGAATGTGATAGGTACCCAACTAAATGCCTTCAAAAACTACAAGCGGAGACACAAAATTATTGAAATGGGTGTCTGAAAATGTGGGAGCAAAAACTTAATAATACTCCTGAGACTTGGAAGAAATGGACAAGTCAGATGTCTAACAAATAGTAAAAACAAATTGATGATATTCTCCTTCAATATTAATTACAGAGTAATATTACAGATACCTTTATAAATATACTTTTATTATCAACAATCACCAAAATTTATGATTTTTCTATATAAGCTTATTACTGTGGTATGTTTTTTGGCGGATGAATAATGACCTTGACCGATTTTATTTTATGAAATTAAGGAAGAAGTGTGGCACGCATGTAGCGGAGCGATAACCTCAAAATTTGATGATAATTCATTCAACTTCCAAAGGTTTCACCCCAAGTCACTTATCAACACAACTGCCCCTAAAAGTAGTCAGATATGTCGTGGATATTTGGATATGGACGAAATAAAGATCAAGTACCCGACTTGTCTCAGATGGGGTTGGGTAATCCTACAGGAGCCGGTGGTTCAGATGATGGTGGCCCAAAAGAGCCTAATTTAACAAAAGCTGAACGAAAAGCTATGGAAGCATACAGATTTGACTCCACTGCGTTGGAGAGAGCCGCACAGGCTGCGAAAGAACTGGAGAAGTCAAGTAAGTTGTCAAATTCTGCTTGAGCAAACAAATTACATAATTCAAGTGAATTCTGTTGAAACTGGCATTCACTCTATTTCAAGACTTCTCGTGAAAACATTCAATTTTGATTTTTTTTACATTTTTAAGAAACTACTCGGGAAATTTTCAATTTAAAAAACATGTCAACATTGCAAACTTATTTGGAAAGTTAAGGGCAGTGGATTTGGTCTAAACTGATTTTTCCAAAACTTGTTCTCTCGTATTTATACTTTTAGAGGATGGGGGTGAGTTGTTCAGAACGATTCAGCAAACTTGCGAACCAATCAGTTCATAATCTTTCATTCAATTCATAATCTCATCAACTACATATGTATTTTAACATTAGTTGCTGTAATATATTACTTTACTGTTCATTGTAAAATAATATTTCATGTGTGGATAATTCTGTAAAATGAATGAATGGATGGAGATCAATCAATTAAAATAGTAAATGAAGATTTTACAAATTATAACATTGCTGATTCGTTATTCAGTCAGACTCTATAATACGTTTTTTGATTTATTGATAACCATACTGGATCATATATAAAAGTGATATAAATCGTGAGTGTATTACAGGGCATGCCAAAGAAGCTTTAGAACTTTCAAAACTTCAAGAAACTACACGTCAAATTGAACAACAGGCCAAAATCAAAGAATATGAAGCGCACATCGCTCAAATGCAAATTGAAGCAAAGAGGGCAGAAGCGGAAGAAAAACGGAAACTTTTACAAGAGGAAACGAAGCAGCATCAAGCTAGAGCCCAATATCAGGATCAGCTGTCTAGAAAACGCTATGATGATCAATTGGGTCAGCAACAGAGGATGAACGAAGAGAATCTGAGGAGACAAGAAGAATCTGTAGCAAAACAAGAAGCTATGCGGAAAGCTACCATAGAACATGAAATGGAACTGAGGCACAAAAATGAAATGAAGAAGGTCGAAGCAGAGCTGAAAGCAAAAGCTAAGATCGATAGAGAAAACCGAGATTTGACATTGGAACAAATACGATTAAAAGCAGAAGAAAACCGTATAACAGTTTTAGAAAGTATAAAGTGAGTATCAAGCTGAGAAACGATGAAATTTCTTGGTATTTTTTGAAAAAATGTCATTGTGTTTCAAGGTACACCTTTTTATATCTTGTTGAATAAATCTCTAAAAGCTGGTTACTTTCTTAACTAGAAAGGTGAAGTTATGTCAATAAAGACCTTCAACGTCTGTGTTCTTCAAGAAAACAATTAATTTTCCTGAAGTTCTGTTGTTTCTGTGAAATGAGGTGGAAATGTAAAACATTTTAGTACAAAAAATTTCACATATAGTTGAGAAATTAAATATCCCCACACCATGTATGGAAGTTGACTAATTGTTTTCTGTTTCAGAACAGCAGGAACAGTTTTAGGTTCAGGAGCTCAAGCCTTACTCACCGACTGGAACAAAGTTCTCACGGCAGCTGGAGGTTTAACTCTATTAGCTTTGGGAGTATATTCTGCCAAAGGGGCAACAAGCGTTACAGCTAGATACATTGAATCAAGATTAGGTAACTCGTATCTTTTCAGTTTCCATGCAACATGCTTATTACTTGGTTTCAGGTAAACCTTCTCTGGTAAGAGAAACGTCTAGATTTTCTCTCTTGGAATCTGTTAAGCATCCCATTGAAACTCTGAAAAAATTGAAGCACTCGGAGCAAAATGCACTGTCTGGTATCATCTTGGCTCCAAAATTGGAAGAGAGGTTGAGAGATGTAGCTATAGCAACAAAGAATACAAAACAGAATAAAGGAATGTATAGGAATATCCTTATGCATGGACCGCCTGGAACAGGGAAAACGATGTTTGCAAAGGTATGTTATAGATTATGAGAAAGAAGTTTGTCAGTGACAACACTATATATTCCAAGAAACCATTGTTATTATCATTAACAAAAAAAAAAGATTAAAAATCTAAACTTATTCACTTCAATGATAAATGTATGAAATAATGATACTATGAGATATTTTTGAAAAGCATTTGAATCCTAGTCATCTTGAACATTCCTCTACCCTAATCAAATACTTTTCTTATAAAGATGTGATGTACAGTTTTTTACTAAATTGCTTTAAAGACCTCGGTCAGAAAATTGTTTTGCCAGATTTCTTGATTGACAAATTTCATTATAATTTGCATTATTGTTCAAATCGGATTTTTTTTATTAATAGCTTTATTCAAAATTTCACTTTGGCATTGATCTCTGCTTTAACCGAGATGAAAAATAAACTTAATAAATGTTCAGTAACAAAATGGTCAAATGTAAATAATCTCTGTGAGAAAACTTCACAAATGTCTTTTAGTTATAATACAAAGTATTACTACCAAGAGAAGTAGTCTTTCGGCAAGCAGTCGTAGGATCTTACTGTCTGAGATAATTGGTAGAGGTGAATGTTTCAAATTTGCCTTCAAAATATTTATTTTTCCTGCTCAACTTATGACGTTCAGTTCCAAAACTAAAAACGTGAAGTTAGTCAGCAATATTCACAGACTTTTTCAATACTATTTTTTTTCAGAAACTAGCTAAACATTCTGGAATGGATTACGCTATTCTTACAGGAGGAGATATTGCACCAATGGGACGAGATGGAGTAACAGCTGTACATAAAGTATTTGATTGGGCAAACAGTACAAGGAAAGGTAATACTTCAATGCAAACCCCTCCAAATTACTATATTACATAAATTGATAATTTTCGTAGGACTCTTATTATTCGTCGATGAAGCAGATGCATTTTTGAGAAAACGCTCATCAGAAAACATATCCGAAGACTTGCGAGCCACTCTCAACGCCTTTTTGTATCGTACAGGTGAACAGAGTCAAAAGTTCATGCTGGTATTAGCGTCGAATACTCCCGAACAGTTTGACTGGGCAGTCAATGATCGTTTAGATGAAATGGTGGAATTTGGACTACCTGGTTTGGAAGAACGAGAGAGGCTTATTAGATTATATTTTCAAAAATTCGTTCTGGAACCTGCTACTGAAGGAAAAAGGTAAAGGTACAACTGTTATCTATAATTATTTGAATTTTAATTTCATTGGAAAGTCTTATTTACAAGTGTACAGTACATATGTGTAGTACAAATTGAAATAATGTTTAGTCTTGTTGTTGATTCATGTATTAATAAGGTCTTACCGTTTAAGGTGTGATTTTTGTAACAGTGCAAAAGTTGACCACTTTCAGTGACCTCAAGGTTGATATTAAAGAATAACAATTAGGGCCTACAGTTTGCTTATGATAAGGGTGAAAATCTTTTGAAAAGAGATCATTTTCAAAGCCCCATTCTGAATGAACTCCTTCAATTTTGTTGATGACATTTCGAAAATTGTAGCTGAACAGATTCAAGCAAGCAAACTTGGAGGCCTTTGCTGTTGGATCCTGCTTTGGCTTATGTTCGGGGTTAATTCTCGTACTCTTTTGAGGTACTCATCATAAATATACCTGTATGCCAGGACGATGATCTAAATACCCAAAACCACATCCAGTTTGAAGCATGGGGAAGCCTGAATTAATATGATATTTCTCTTTAAATGATGAGGGATTGAAACATGGTTGGTGCCAATGGAAAGTAATTTATTGACATGTGTTTTTTCAGGAGACTCAAGGTTGATAACTTCGATTATAGTGCTCTGTGTAGTAAAATGGCCCGAATGACTGAAGGCATGTCTGGGAGAGAAATTGCTAAGTTGGGAGTAGCTTGGCAAGCTGCAGCTTATGCTTCTGAGGATGGAGTGCTTACTGAAAAAATGGTTTTGGACAAGGTGGAAGATCATGTTAAACAGCACAGGCAGAAGGTTAGTTGAGCAATATTGAACTTTTTGAAAAATCAACCAATTGATCTGCTTGTTCTATAGGTGGAGTGGCAATCAGAACAAGAGAAGAAAGAATCAAAGAGTATCTACCACTCCGAGAAGGAAGATTCCTATATACCCATTGTACCGAAAGCAATTGAGGGTACCGAGGTCCATGTGAAAAGAGAAGACCAAGATAGTGACCAAGCCAAAGAATCAACAAAAAAAGATGAAAGTAGTCCATCCAGGAAACCAACTAGAAGTGAAAAAAGTTAGGATTCTAACGGTTTGTAGTTTGTTACTTGCTAGGATTGAATAAACATGAGGTAAACTTTTTGATCCTGCCATAGTTTACTTCAAACTGAAGCCCGTAAATGAATATTTTAATTTATCTCGAACCGAGAGTTGCATTTACTGTTACTGTTTCAATCGCTCTCGATCATTTTTATTGAATTTACAGAAACTTTATGAATTTACTTTGTAATCTGACCTTGTGATACTCTGAATGCGCCTCAGGGAAATTTTATCAGCGTTCTCTGCATTCGAATTTTGATATATTTTGTTATATGTTTTGAAGATTGTGTGGAAATTATATCCAAAATAGGTTTTTTGTAATAAAGTTACAAAGTTCGACTTGTTCTCTGTCTTATTGACTATTCCAAGATAATAGTGAACATAATAATTATCAAAGACCTTCAAGATAAAAGGTACAACAAAATTTTTAATATTGTAAAACAACAGTGGGTGTGAAAAGCGTAGCACAGAAGTTAGTTGCAAAAACTGCACTGAAACTGATCCAATCATCTATTTAACCTTTCTCAAGTAGTGTGTATTGAAGATCAGAGAAGTACTCCTCAATCAATTTAAAGAGAAGTTCCTGGGGGATCAATATTGGGCCCCCTCTTCTATTTATAAATTATATAAACGATTTACCAAATATTTTCACCTCAAATGTAGAGGCAATTATGTATGCTGATGACACCACATTTGGCATCAGTATCGGTGAAGAGGAGTGTCTGGTTCTGATCCTTGAGGAAATTATTGAACAAGCAGAAACCTCGTTCTTGGTAGACAAGCTCGTGCTGAATAAAAGAAAAACAAAATCTTAAATTTTTGAAACTACAATATCATTACCATATACAAAACCTTCCAGATATACTGCACACTTCTAGGTATAGATGTAAGTGCTGTATTTACCATAAGAAAAGCATTGTTTGAATCTATCATTAGATATGTTTTGCCTGTTTGGAACTCAGCGTGACAGATTCACCTAAATGTAGTATTTGCCGTTCAGGAAAATAAGATCAATTGAAGGAGAAAATTTCAAAGACTACTGTATGCCAATCTTTGAAAACTTGAAATTAATCAACCTTTACTCTGATCATTTTTGTCAAGCTATTATATATCAAACAAAACGTTCAAAATTACTCTGTAGTGTCTGATATACATAGTCGCAGTACTAAAGATGAAGAAAACCTGATCATTTCTCAAACTATGTACGAAGAATGGAGGATACTGTTGAAAAATCAATTTTTCCATTGATCAGATGTCGCTCCCCTACGAAAGACAACCCTCAGAAGTTGAAACTTGTGTGAGCTAAAGATTATTAAGGTCTTACCTTTTAACACAGATCCACAGACGTGGGAATTCCGCAGGGGAGCATTCGGCCCTCTTTTGTTCGTTATTTATTTGAACGACTTATGTAATCTAAACCTAAACCAACTTAGTTCAAAACTATCTTCACAGAAGACAAAAGTCTGTTATCAGGTGGTGAAACCTTCCCAGATATGATGGCAAATAGTACAGATCTATTCAACAAAACTAAGGACTGGTTCAATAAAAATAAACTTGTACTCAATGAATCGAAGACACATATGATTTTGTTTAGAACAAACCAAGACAACATTGATTATCCAGTTAGAGTGGACCTTCAAAACTCTTCTTTTGAACTGTCCCACAACACCAAATTTTTAGGAATCCACATAGACGAGAATATGAATTGGACTTCTCATATTGATAACCTCACAAACAAACTAAGTGGAATATCGTACGGGATTAGAGTTACATCAAAATATCTGCAAGAGGCTATAAAAACAATATACACGGCTAACTTCGAATCGGTTGCTCGAGACGGAATTATTTTTTGGGGTAGCAATCAAAATATTAAGCTGTTTATTATTATTATTATCAACGTGCGATTCCTAGCACGAGACTATCGACATCAAACTGAACAATGTTCTTCCCTCACAGTATGCTTTTGAGCTTTAGTAGTGTTAAGATATTTAAAGATATCACTCATAGAAAATCATCTATATAGTATTGATGGGTTTCACTTTAATGTCTGTGCGATTATAGACTTTGCTACTACACTCAACAGTTGATTATTATTCATATGACTTTGAACATTTTGCCAATGAAAAAACAAGCAGTTTCTATAAAGTCAGAATATTGATAGGTATAAATATGCTCTCTGTTAGCAGTTTAACACTCATTACACACTATCTGTACTTTATTCACAATAAAAAAAATTATTTCAGACTTAACCCACCTACATCAAATCTAGTGTCACTGAACAAAAGTTAGAAGAATTAGAGTTTTTATTGATTTTTTCACTTTCCACAATCTGAAAAAAATTGAAATTTGTAATGGAGAACTTTATGCAGGTGTAGAATTACGATGAGTTGCTGCGTAAATTTAGTATATTTTTCTCACAGAGGGACAAATCTGGCTCTGTCGCAAATTTCTCCGACAGATATCAGTTTATGATAGTCTATTCAAACATTAAGTCCTACCAAGTCGGATGACAGGCTTTTAGTCATCTCCTGATGATGTTAACTTGGACTTGGTTAGCGAAATGTTTGTCGAGAGACTGCAATTTTGTTCTGGCGAGGGAGTAGCAATTTCAACAGATTCATTTCACGCCAGAAGATCCAAATTCCACTTGTCAAGTAAACATTCAGTGTAGTACAAGGTATTTTCTGACATCAGTTTGTTGCTTGCTTAAAAATAGTGAATTTGTTCCCTACTCCAGATCACAGTCTAGTTTGATCTCTTTCTCTCTCTTTTTGAAGTCAGTTTAGCCTGACAACAAAACGATCAGAAGATAATTTTCATATTATCAGCAGTCATTTACTGTCTACTATTTAATCGAAATTAAACACCCTAGAAGTCGCTTACGCAAATCAAAGCTGAGTTTGATTCTGTATATGGATGCATATAGCTTAGACGCTTATTCATATATACATACTAGGAAAGTATATTGGAGCCTTTTTTTTCAAAGCCTGTTGAAAAATTTCTCATGTTCTTTTGAAAATATTATAGGAGGAACATTACACATAAAAACATGTAAAGACATTAATATTTATTACAGAAAATGGATATGAAAAATAGAACATATAATGATTAACGATTTAAGACACAACTATAATATCACAGCAATAGATCAGACGGCAATATAATGGTAACTTTCAACCCAAATGCGCCGATTTTATTTCAAATCAACTATTAAGGGACATATAAAAATGTAAACACATTAATATTCATTACAGAAAATTTATATCAAAAATAGAACACCTAATGATCAACCATAACGATTTAAGGCACAACTAGAATATCACAGTAATAGATCAGACGACAATATAATGGTTTTTAACCCAAATGCGCCGATTTGAATTTCAAATCAACTACTAAGGGACATACAAAAATGTAAACACATTAATATTCATTACAGAAAATTGATATCAAAAATAGAACACCTCTTGATTAACAATAATAATTTACGGCACAACTAGAATACCACAGCAATAGATCAGATGACAATATTCATGTAACTTTCAATCCAATTCCCACGGCCCCAATTTGAATTTCAAATCCACCACTAAGGGAAGGTGATCTGACGGAAAGTATTCATTTGGCAGGCCCTCGTGCTTGGCTAACTCTTCTTCCTCTGTCATTGGAATCACCTGCCGGACCTTCAACTTTTCACTTTCAATAAATATGTAGTCCAAACAACCTTTGAAATCTTTCGTATAATTTGTGAACTTTGGAGTTCCGCAGGCACTTTCCATTCCCAAACAGTGATACATTGCTATCATTCCATTTTCACTGACTGAAACAAGATAAATGTGATCCTCAAATGCATTGCTGCAAAGGACAAGTCTGAGTGAATAAGGGCGACAATGACGCCATCTAGGGGTACGACAGAGAAATAAATCTTCGAATATCAAAGATAAACGAGGTTTCCCAAAGCAATCAGTTGTAAAGCCAAGCTTTAACATTGACAGCCGACAAGATTTGTCCTCTGTCTTTGACTATTTAATAAAATTAGCTCCTTCAATAAAAATTGTGATAAGATCGATCGTTTATATTCCACAACATCTATTTTGTTCATATTTCTCACTCATCCATTGTCATTTTCAATTTTTAACTGTCGTAGGTTTGTTGTGTTTCTTTAATATGTGAATCCTCTCCAGATTTTACAAAACAAGTACAAACATCATACATACACTACGAAAAAATACTTCTTCCAGTAACTCTACTAACAATACCGTTACTTATGAGAATGATGAGATGTACTCTTTTGCTGAGTGATTTTGTATCAATACAAAGTCTGAGGGATCCATCTGATTTTTCTACGATCATCAAACTATATACATAATTGATAGGATAAACAACTCTTCTAATGATATTTAGACTTTGCAAATTTTCAAAAACATTTTTCAATTTTTAATGTAAAGAAAATGGAATTTTTCTTTGGTTCTGAATAAAAGCATCTAAAAACACTGAAATCTGAATGAGTCAACGCTATGAAGAAATTACAAAAATTCAGATGTAGGAAGTGTCTTTATGAACATATCCCACTTCTGACACCATGTTATAAACCTTTGGGAACAGCAATCTTTCAGTTTTATAACAGTGTATGTACTTTCCAGTTATATATTCTTTTTTGTTATCTTCGTTATGGCAACCACCATAGCTTACTATTTATATGTGGTAATAAACATACATATAACAATATCAACCATTGTATCTGTGATGTTGAAAACTGGTGACTGTTGTGAAACTGGCTGGAATGTATATTCTTCAGATTCAATAAAGGAACTTCTCTTTTTCTCTCTTGAATACCACTCAAACTTTCATCAGGACACTTATGGTAAAAATATTTTTTGCAATTTTTTTTTAACTAATTTAACGTAATACAGTTCATTTAGCAACCAACTTACTTCGTATACATATCATCAGTTTCTTGTGGAACAATCTGAATTGAGTAACGGTATTTTCTAAACCAAGTTTCATAGTGTATGAATAAAAAAAAAAGACTATAAACGGTGACAAGTGATATAGAAAAGAGACGCCAATAGATGAACGATCAGTGACGTACAATTCTGAATTAAATCCTGTGAAATCATTCTATGAAACTTTTCTTCCTTATTGGAATTTCATTGATATTTTACCTTTCAAGCAATCCTCATGAGCTGGATCGATCATTCCTTTCGTTACATATTCATATAACGACTGATCAGGTTGGCTATTGAAATTACCGCATAGTATCACAGCTACCTTGGCACCATTCTGAAAAATATGTTGATAAAACTAACATCCAAATTGAAGTTCAATAAAGTACCCACCTCTTCATAAGTTCTCTTCAAAGTTTCCATATAGCTTGTAGTCATGTTGATGTGCAATAACCTCAAATGATTTGACTCTGGCTTATCGGTAAAATGAGTATTGCCAACAATCACATAATACTTCTTTTTCCAATGTCTGAGTACGGTTACTTGAAGAGAAGTCGGCATTTTCACAAATTCATTTTTGAGATCTTCATTTCTTTTGATCAGATCCCATATATATGAATAATTAGGGTTACTTTGGACTTCTTGGCCAAACTGTACATGCATTGAATGCACATGTCTAAAGGCAAGTGAATATATATTTATTTATATATATATATATA